AGTTTTGCGGCCATCTGGACGAAACGCATATATAGAGACTGCGCGAAATATTGTCTACGTAACATGTGTTTGCTAAACCATATGAGTAAAAATTAAAAAATACGCGCAGACATTTTTTTTATGGAAATAAAAATATTTTTCTATTACCAATTATTTTATAATTCATTTAGATTTAAAAAAAAGTAATTGCAAAATTCAAAAAAATTTATATATTAGTCAAAGAATTTAGACTTTTTAGATGAGTATACCCAATTCAAAACACGATTTTGGCTTGGAGTATAAGCGTAAGCCACTTATGCAAATTCAAAGAGGGTTTTCCTTGCACATGCGAAAGATCCGCTTAACTTTCGAAAGACGGTAGCTGTCGTCTCTATACCTCAAACCAAGAGAAAAAGAGAGAGAGAGAAAAAAGAATGACGATAAAATGTTCGCATTTTAAAAGATTTGCATTTGTTACACGATTTTCTTTATATAAAATGTTTCCTTCCATAACAAAATAATAATAAATTTTGTGTCTTGAAGAAAATCATCTTTTTTTTCACACGTCATTTATAATGTACTTAATTTAGAGATAGAGGAGGTTATAAATTTATTGCACAGAAAGTGACGCGATAAAAAAAAATTCCCTTTTTTATTTGCATATATGTTGATATAAATTCTCTATTAATATTTTTTTGTCTTTTTTTGTAATTAAAAAAGTTTTTCACATATAAATATTCTATAAAACTTATATAGGGGTCGTTATTTTGTTTTGGGTGAGAGAAAAAAAAGGAAAAATTCATTTTGCATATAATGGAATATCGTTTCCAATTTCAACGGTTACTAACACATTTAAATACTTTTGATCACGTGAAATTTTATTTGAATAGAGAAATCGAAGTGAAAAAGGCTTTCTTTATATATATATGCACATAGAGTATATTCATATATAGACTTATGGTAAATATCTAGATGTTATGGAAATTATTATATTTGACAGATCATAAAATGACAATATATTGTAATTAGTGGAAAAATGTATTTTAATTCAATTCTTCAATATTGTATTCATTTTTACTCTAATTTTTCCACTTTTAAATTATAAGCAAGAATTTTATTTGTCTTTCCAAATAAAACAAAAAACTATTGCGGACGTAACTTTTAATATTATTTTCTTCGAGTTGTTTAAAAAGTCGAATAAGTTTTCCCATAAGGCCTGGCAGGGTATTTAAAGGAATATATATATACATGCGTATATAGTGAGGGCACAATGCCAGGAACTGGCCATAAGATATGGACTCTCGATAATTCAACGGAACAGGGTGAAAAAAATCAATAGTATAACCACCCCAGAGCATGGGTCCCCTAACTCGAATATATATATATATATATATATATATATATATATATTCGCCATGAAGCCTGTTCGCCGCATACTTAATGAACACGACAACCTCAGCCTTTACCGTATCGTTCGTTTTGTATAAGTAAAGGGTACACAAAGAACTCTCAAGTGGGGCGAATGAATGCTTAATGCACTCCAAGAAAATCATTTACTCGGTTCGTTTTAACCTCACTCACAATTTACTTATATGGAATGAGATTAACTATCACACGCAGCTTTTATATAGACAATTTACCAACATATTTAGCAGCGACACTTCTTTAAATACATAAATTCATTCGCGTTAAGGGAGAGAAAGAATTTTGTGTCATGAATTTTTTAAACATTGTCTAAATTCTTCGAATCTTAACTAACTTCTTTTAATAAAATATTTTATCACAAAATATCGTATATTGAAAATTTAAGAGTAAATTAAAAATTTTTATATAATAATTCATTATTGGAATAATTTTTTTTTATCATTAAAACAAAATTGAATTTTATACTTTTTTTATGGAGTAAAAATGATAATTTTTTTTTTTTTTTAGAGCAGGGGTAAAGAGAGTCGATAAGAGAGCAAAGTCTATTACTACATAAGTCGACTTTGAGGACGGAGAGAGAAACCTCTCCAGCACCATCATAGTCTCAAGGGACCGCGAATTATTGTCAAAGAAGAAATTCTTCAGAGAGAAAAGACAAGTTACAGATCCCTCATAAAATTTCAAGACCAGAAATAAATGACACCAGCTGCGTTTCGAAAAAGGACAAATTTTTCCAACTAGAAATATTTTTTCCTCCTTTAAAAATTATACACTTTGAGTATATATTTCACGCAGTTTTCCCAAAACGAACAATATATCCTTTTTATTCACACTTTCTATTTCAGTAAAATATTTACAAAAAATTGTACATCTTTTCCAAAAAGTAATTTTTTCCCAAATATATTTTTTTATATAAATGAATCTTTTTTTTTTTTTAATAAAAATTTATGACTTATTTTATGCTTTGGCGTTCACTTGGATTGTAGAGAGAGAAAAAATATTGTGCGGTTAAAAAAAAAAAAGGAAAAAAAAGGTTATAAAAAAGGAGAAAAAATTGGTCTAAATAAACGACCTGAATCGTAACTTTCCTGTAGGATTGGAAGAATTCCAGCAAAGATCGTTAATAGGAAACGTTATTGTCTTATAAAGTGGGCTCAGGAATATCTGTACTTTTTTTTTCGTTTCCTAAAACGCGACATTAAAAGAAAACATGTATGGAATATTAACCCAAGTAATGGGATTTAGAAGAGAGAATTTTTCCTCGTCCTTTGAGCATTTTCTTTGCTTAATGACATACTCATAAAAATGTGTCTATAATATATAACCACACTTGAGAAATAAAGTCATTAAAATGTAATTTTTTCTCAAGTTAAAACAACTTAAAAAAAATAATCATAAAAAGACGAATTTTATACAAAATTCCTCTCCTTCCTTTATGAAATTTAAGCATATTTTTGATTAAGTAAGTCAAGAACATTTTATATAATTAATCAATTTTATTGTACTTTGTGGCATTCTAAATATGTTCATTGTGACCCAATTCAAAAGCTTCTATATTTCAAATTGCAAAATCCAACGCATTTCCTAGTATGTACATTAATTAAATATAAGAACAAATATATCCTTCTAATCTACCTTCCTAAATCAAAGCTAAAATTATAATTAATTAATAACAATTATTTGACACGCAATTACCATAATTTGTTTTATACTTTTGCCCAATGCAACAAACTTTTATTTTATTATAATTATATATATACTGATGTTTGAGTTTTAAACAATGCGTGTGAATTGCTTGTTTATATTATAAAATTACGTAATAAATGAATTGTAAGTAGAGAAAGTATTATAATATACTATAACAGTAAATTTTTCTAAACTAAACTTTCAATTTAAATTTTCAATTTATTTTCTTGTGGCGAGAATAAAAAAAAACAAGAAATTTTCATATATGTAAACAATGTAAATATTATGAAGAGAAGGTTTAATAGTGCAATTTAATTTGAATTCTGTTCTCTCTCAAATTGAGATGGAGAATACATGTAAATGTGAGCAAGACGTATATTATTGATTACATGTGCGCACGCACCTAAAATGCACTGTTAAGTTTGCCTATATATACATATATTATTGCGAAAATGATTATTCCAATAATGAATTATTATATTGTTAAGTATTCTTCCAGAGAGAGAGAAAAAAAACCCTTTGTGTCCGCATTCAAAAAGAAGAATAAAACACAAAGACCTAACAATTACCTATCTGAAGATGATAATAAACAATAATTAACTATTACAAAAATCGATATTTTTATTTTTAATACTAACAGTAAAAAATAATTATTATTCCTTAATAAACTCGTATGAGTTTGAAATAAATAAATAATAATAATAATACTAATAACAACAGTAATAATAATATAATTATCATATAATAATTAATATTATTTAATGTTCTGTAATTATATATTTATAATAGCGTGAAAGCTCCTTTAATTAAAAGTAACATTTTCAAAAACAAGAATTTAATGTTTCGATTTTAACCCGATAATAATAGAAAATTAATAACCACTAAAAGGAAAATAATTCTTATATTGTTTGGCAAAACTAATTATGACATAAAATTCACATTATATGGGAAAATTGATAACATTAGAAAGTTGAAGGAAATGGCTATAATATAGAAATATAAATTAAAATCCTCGCACTAAAAGTCGACGTGGAAAATAGATCCTAAGATGCAATCTTCAATTCTCTATGCGTTTCATATAAGATTTGTATATGCAGACGATTTATAATTGTAATATTTAACTAACTCGCCTATTATAATTTATCGTTTTATTTTTACAAAAGATTAAAACTGAACCCATAAATGCTGATAAGGAAATAATCTCTGACACAGTTTTCAAGATATGATCCATGTGTGACCTCTTGATATCAAAAATATATATATATATATGGAACGATATTGCATTTTCTGAGAAATCAGAAAGCAGGTTGAATGAATTAAACTCTGCAATGCGAGACTAATGTGTGATTTCAAGGAAGGCTGGAGAACAGATAATCGATGAAAGTATGTATGCGTGATATTGTGACACCAACACTATACGCACCGTTCGAATAATGACGAGAAAACATGGGGGAATACTTGATTGATATAGTTCAAGATTAATGTCAAAAAAGGGAAATTTTTTTTTCATTTAATACTTTATTTTTAACGGAAATGTATCGAAACAATTGGTTTACATATTTTGATCAGAGATTGTTTGAACTGCTCAAAAAATTTTGTTTTGAACAATTTTTCTTTTACCATTATCAAGAAAATTATTCGGTTTGTAAATATTAATCTTATTTTCTGTACTTTTAGTTAGAACCATGGTACGAATTTTAAATTTATAATGATAATTTAACTATTCAAAAATTTCCTTTCGATATTGTACGAATGAAAAAGTTTTCGTTTACCAATATCAAGAAAATTATTAGCTCGGTTTGTAAATATTAACGAATTTTCTGTATTCCGGTTAATACTCAGAATACTGTATCTAATACGGTACAGGAATTTTAAATTTATAATGATAATTAATTTAATTATGTACTCACAAATTAATCGTGCGTGTTTACTGGATGGAATTTTGGACTCACCTGGAAAAAAAAGTCTCATTATTTATCTTGCAGATTATAAATAATAGTATAGAAAAATAATAAAATTACGAACAAAAAAAAATTAATAAAATATACTGATAAATTGTCGAAAATTTCCGACAAAATAAAAATATAACAGTAAAAAAGTGAAATAACAAATCCATAATATGTCATTCATTCTAGTGTACATAAAATTTAATTTGAAAAACAAAAAAATTTCCAAATACATTTTTTCCTAAAATTTGGTCCGATTTCTTTTTATCATTTCTGAACCCTCTATTTCAATCCCTGGATGTGTCACTTGGAGATGAAAAAGAGGCTAAACATCATAAATCTCACTAGGAAGTGTGACATCACCAACAGCTGATAGTTCCCTTTTATCTTTTTGAATTGAATTCAGCCTTATTCAGCAAAAAAATCCATTTCTTAACTTTTTTTTTTGTTTCACAAATAATCCTTTCTCTATCATCAATTTCTAAATCAGAAAAAAAATTCCCTTCTTATTTAACAATACGCCATTAAATGATACACGAGATATTTGCACGCGCAGACCCTAAACAAATATTTTGATAAAGGAACAAGAGACAACGCCAGACGAATTCGTGTACGAATAAAATCGATTGATCGGCCAACTATATATATATATATATTTTATTCATATATATTGCTTGACCAGATATCGCATGCGGAGGATATGTTCTCTCTATATCGTATATATATTTTCCTCTCGAACTACTATACTGCATATCCAACAACCCCTCGATCCAAAAGGAAGTCTCGTGTAGTAATATTAACCATTTCCGAAAATTTAGAAATGGGGTGAAACTCATTCCACAAAGATTGCATGATACTATATATACAGTTAAACAACCCCCCTTTGAAACCTTCCTCCTCTCAATCACAGTTGCTCCGTTCAATAACTTCCTTAATATATGTTGGTCCTTTTCGGATCAAATATAGTTCACAATTTTTCCCTTTTTTTGAAATTTTCAAAATTTAATTATTTTTTTGTTTTTCAATTAATATTCGTTATTGTAATAAATAATTATTTTCTATATTTACAATTTTTTAAAATACAATTTACATTATTTTAAAATTTAGTAAAATTTATATTTGTATTACACTGTTGATATTGAAATAAATGTCCACATTGTGACTGAAACGTGTGCAATAATTACAAATTAATTGTTTCATTGGATTTTAAAAACCCTTGTAAAACAAACATTCATATAAATGAAAATATAAAATAAATATTTAAAAAATAATTATTATAAAAAATCGACTTTTCTTTTTTAAAAAAATGTAAATTAAAAACACGAATTTCCGTTCACGCTATTAATAGTTAAAAAATTTGAAACTGAACATAAACAATATTTTTCAAGAATATTCAAAAAGTAAAAAATTTCCTGAAAATATTGATTTCTGTATTAAAAAAATTGTATTAATTTATGTAGTAATTTAAAAAAAAAATTTAGTTTAATTCAGAATTTTAGGCACATAAAAAACTGTTTAATTTATGGTCAATATATTTCTAAATAATTACAGGTAGATAAATTATTAGATTTGAAATTATATTTATAATAATTGTTAATTATACAAAGAAGTGATATTTCTCTCGATTTTTTCAATATAATTATAATTTTCATGATAAATTACAAACTCAATGAAAATCGAGATGAAAATTAATAAATAATATTTCTTTTTACATTTTGATTGACTTTATGAATATGGAATATAATTTATATTCCAATTAATTAGCTTCTTGTCACGGGAAAAATTTCGTTGAAATTTGTAAAATTTTTTTTACAAACGTTCCAACCAATAAAAATATGAAAAGGTTTTTTTGAAATGCAAAAGCAATTTTTCATTTGTTTGAAAAGATTTCTTTTCATTATTTATAAAGAAGAGATTAAATTTCCCCGCGATTTCACTTTCAAAAAAAAAAGGAAAATAACTTTAATTATATATATGTAAAATAATAATTATAAAAAAATAACTCCGGAAATAAATAAAAAAAAAAACATACACGTATAAATAAATATACATTTACATTAGAGAAAAGTGTATAATTATTAATAAATCAAGTAATTAATCATCATTAAAAAATTATTAAAAACTATGACGCTGTTTTTTTTTTAACAACTATCAGTGTGAGTCAATAAAATAGATGTTTTTCGAAATCACATACACGTTTGTTTAGTGTATATATATATGAGGTGAAAGCTTCCACTGTGGACAGGGCATATAATAATGTTTGTTGCGTGTGTTTGATATGGCAAAAGATATAAAACACATATACATATAAATAATATAATATATAGGTAGTGACCAATGACAAATTTGCAAAGAAAGAAAGTTTCGATTTCATATAATACAATATATATATATATATATATATATACATTGGCACACGATCAAGTTGAAATTTAAACCTTAAACGTCGACTCATATACAAATTGTAGTATAGTTTAAAAGTGACGTCACACAGAGAATCTAAGCAAACAATTACCTGGGCTATTTACTCAAGAGAATTTCTCGACAAGGCATCTCTCGTTTGAAAGAGAGCCGCTTTTTAACGGTATATTATACCATACTAAATAAGTGACAGTTATGTATGTGTCTTTTTCTATCTGCGTGTAATATTTTTTTTTTTTTAAAGAATATATTATTAGCTATATTGTTCCCTCATTTATATAATCTATCGCGCCTACTCACTGTCAAAATCGATCTCACATAATGATGTATTTCAAACGGTTTATTTGTCTACCCTTTAGTTTGTCTTATTTTCAATTATACAGAGAGTGGGAATTTTTTATAATTTAAAAAAAAAGACACAAAAAAATACAAATAATTTTCCATTCAAAGCCAAAAGTTATGAACTAAATAAATAATATAAATAATAATTTCAAGAAGAAGAAGAAAAATATAAAAAGTTTAATGGTAATAATTATTTATATTGTAAATAATGGAAATACCTATTTATTTAATTATTAATTATTATAAGCATTAATTATTTATTATTATTAATTAATGTTATAATTATTACATTAATATTAATATAAAATAATAATTATTAACATTAAAAAAATATAATTCCCTTTTGTTAACATAAAATAAAATACCTTGTTACTTTCACGAATAAAATGATTTATCGAAACTGTCGTTTTTATATCATAAAATATTCTTATACTTTGAAAATAAAATTAACGAATTTTGCTAATATAATGATTGTTGTAAATTATTCCCGACTTTTAAGTACTCTTTATGAAAGTGTAAAATATAGTGACAAAACTATTTTTATCAACTCTGACGAGAAATTACGGTTTATGACTCATAGAAATAAAATTAGAGTATATGCACAAAAGTTGTATATATGAGAAGTTAACTTGCTTTATATATGCAATTCTGATTTAATGATAATACTCGCTTATTCCATATAAATGATACAATTAATTTTTGTTTGTTAAAAAAAAATTTCACATACACTCAAACTTGAAAATTAAAATTAACATTTTGTAAACTCATTGAGATGCATTATTATTAAATTATATTTAATCTGGCTTTCAAAATATTTTGTAATAATTATTATTTATAATAATAAAAGTGATACTGTTATTGATAATTTACTGAAACCAATTAGCAAATAATTTTCCCAATTCTCATAATATAATTATAAATTAAAAATTCTAATTGGAAAATTTTGTTATTTGTTAAATTAATTAACTGCTTTAAAAATTAATAATCATAATTTATATACTAAACAAAAAAAAATTATTTTTTAGGTAATCAATTTATATTTTTTAAGTATGAAAAAATTTGAAAAAAATTTCCAATATTTGAAACGTCACTCTCCTCTTATAGAACGATATGGCAAAAAATAAAAGAGAAATCTTCGATATCCGGTGCACGATACGATGACATTTAAAGATATTGAACCGTCTACTATAAATAAGTGAAGTCTGATATAGAAATTTAAAAATAATTTTTGACCTATTGTCTTTATAGTTAATGATCCTTTAATAAGTATATATAAATGTATATATGACAAAAAGAGCATAATATTAAATAATGTGTGCGGTCTGTTTACACAAGTAATGCGAAAATTGCAATGGTATAAGAAAAATATTGCGAGCTTCATCAATAATTAATCAGGAACGTTCATTTTGTATTGACTTTAATATTTTCTTTTTTTTTTTTTTTTTTTTTTGCTGAACAGAGGAATTTCTTCTATAAAACAGTATTTTTTTCTCAATTAAATTGGCTCAAAAGTTGATTAATTCATGTAACTAAGGGAAATATGTATTATTTTTATATTGGAATTTTTTTTATAATTATATTATTTATATTCAATATTAATTATAAAATTATAATTAATGTACATTATTCGAAAAAATTCCATACTAAAAATATAGACAATAGAAATTATAAATATATTTAAATAAAATATAAAATTCGTTTCAAAAAAAAATTTATTTGGAACAGTGAAATATTTCACTAGAATAAAGAAAAGTTTAAATTGTCCCGGAGAATCGGTAAAAAAAAAATTTTTTATATTTTTTCTGTGGTTTAAATTAAAAAAACAGGGCGCACTTTTTTCTTGCATTCGGTAGATTTTGATCACCTTGTATTTATATAATTTGATTTTTGCAAATTTTTGAGGTGTGTTTATGGAATAAAAAAAAAATCTATGTTATATTCTCAATTCTCAAATGGAATTCCTTATACCGGAAAGTGGAAATGTGGTCTATACCAATCTAACCAGTTTACAAGCTGTCATGGGCACCTGCCCCACGCATGTTCGAATTTCAAATGCGCCAATGGCAATTTCATGATCGGTTACGCCCTGTTAACAGCAACCGGATTCAACTCTAATCTATAGATTTTTCATTTTTAATTTTCACAACAAAAGGGGTTTCACCTACACGATTTCATTTTCAGTCTCTCTTTCTCTCTCTTCTCAATAGTTGCGAATTTTTTCAAACTTTCATTATGTTTGCCGATAAATAAAAAAAGTGGGTTTTTTTTGCCTACGCCAAGTATTTTTTGTTGAGTTGTTAAATGAGAAAATAAATATTTTTTTAAAGCCAACAAAATAATTACAAAATTATTTATATATAGAATAATTATTATAAGTTATAATTATTTTTTAATAACAAAGAATAATTTTTAAAATATCAATTTTTTTTAGTAATTATAAACTGAGATATTTTTTTTTAATGTTTAACATTTATTAAAATTTATACGGACGTGTTCTGAGATACTTATTTTAATATTCTTTAATTATATAAATAACTTAGGAAAAAATTCTACCCACTAACGCAAAATTCATGAAATTCTCTTTCTGAATATTTGATTTAGATTTAAAATTAAATTTTTTAGATAAAAATTTACATTAAAAAAATCTCTTGCCAGTTCTTTTCCGCGCACGGTATAACGGTTTTCCTTTTATTAAAAAAAAAAAAAGGAAAAAGAAATTGTTAGGCACACTATAAAAAAAAAATTATTCATATTTTTATAATTATATTTATAAATTTATTTTTTGCATATGCACAAATCCACACGTGTAAAATATTAAAATAGTCCATTTTTATAGTGAACATTTAAATTTATAGTTTAAAAAAAAGAGCTTCTTTGCAAATTACACACAAAACGATATTTGTAGTAGTCTATAAAAATTTTACAACTTGAACATAACGTGACTCGAATCATAGGTGAAAATACGATTAAATTTATTTTTTTTTTATATTTTTACTTCTTTTTTGATAATATGACAAGACCTCAGATAAACAATTTCAATTTAATATTTAAAATTTTAATGCAGAAATATATTTATTTGTAGAGTTATAAAAAAAACTACTTTTTTACAAAAGAAAAATTGAAAATCTTTTTTTGAAACTAAAAAAAAATAGTTGATTCTCAGTTAAATATAGCTTTGTATACGTGCACTTCGTTTTATAGAATTAAACTTCTTTTTACAGTACACAGGACGTTTAGTTTTTTATCAAAGTTCTGTAAAAGAGGAACTCGGAAAGTTATATACTTGAATGGCATATAACTATCTCTCTCTCTCTATACTCTATAATTTTCAGAGAACTCTTTTCTGATCTTAATTAAATATCTTCAAAGGTGGCATTTCATTTTCCTCATTATTATGACCACGACTCATGCGGTTATAATTGTAGGTTCATTTTGTCCTATACGAATGGGAGATAATAAAACGAGAGATAAAGATAAAATACAATTGAGGGAGGACGATAGCAGAAAGTGCTATAATAAAACTATCATAGATTTTATATATATGAGAAAAATCATAATTGCACAAACTCTATAACGCATGTTTCATATATATAGATATAATAAACAAATTGTAATGTAACAAGGGGAACATCGAACGAGCGAAAGGCCGCTTTGTTTCGGAACAAAACCACTCTCTCTTTGACCCGAAGGTGCGCACACAAACACAATTCCTCCTTATTTAGCAGAGAAAACGTGTGTCAAGTTATATATTTTTTTACATGTATCATTTTTTTTAAATATATTTTTTAATGTATTTTATTTTGCCTCATCGTATTTTATGCAATTTTTTTTTTTTTTTTGAAAGACAGGTATATATATATAAAAGCCACATGTATAAAAAGCTCTAAACCTGATCTTGAGGAAGGTTTAAATATGCATGAAATGCTTATTAAAGAAATTACCCTCCTGAGGTGTTGTTCAAGAGAAGACATACATGCTATCAGGATAATCATCCATCAAGATCTCATGAAGATAATATGAGATAGATTGTAAATCGTAAATTCCATCTTAATTTGTTTCTGTTATAATAATTTTGTATATCAATTCGTTCAATAAAATAAAACAACGTGAAGATATATAGTTTCTCCCGCGAACTAATTATACTTTTCTACAACTCAACGAGCTTCTAATTGATAGAGTTTAAAATTACTTTTGTTCCTGTATAAATATAGAATTGAAAGCTAATATTATCAATTAATTTGTGATTTTATTTTAAAAAAAAAAAAGTTATCATTAAAAATTATACTTTTATTTATTATAATTGAAAGTATCTTTTAATATAATAATTTATCAATTCTATTTTTAAAGGGGTTCTTTTTTTTGTGTTCCGTTTAAGATTTAGTTTCTAACAGTAAGAAAAAAAAAGTTGTTTTCCTATGTATGAAAAAAAGCGTGACACTAATTATAAGAATTAAACTTTCCACTAATCTCTTTCAACACATTGGAAACATTTAGAAATTTTTCCACAAAAAAGTTTTATATATTATACTTTCAAATTTAATTGATAACTATTTAGTCTTTTAACAAATTTTCGTGAAATTTTTACTAATTTGCAAAGAAACAAAAAAAATTAAGAGAAAAAGTATATGAAAATAGATTAAAGAAGAAAAAGAAGTTGCGATATGATTATACTGTAATGTATATCTATTAAACCTGCGAGATAATATTCTTTGTTTACTATTCCGAGAAGAGTGATTAATGCCATTGTTCTGCAATAATCATGATAATGGACATTATAGAGTTGATTCCTCGAGAAAGAGAGAGAGAATCCTAAAAAACAAGAAGGCCTTCGCAGCCTCTTTCAGTCCCGACAATGAAGATCCAAGGCAGCTAATGGGTAATAATACTGATCAAAGATAATAGCTAATAACGATCAGCGAATCTTTATTGCACATCCACAACCCACACATTTATTAATCTGGTCCAGAGATGAACATCCGTTGAGAATCTAATTGATCCTTTTTATAATGTCATTAAATTTCATCCAAATCATTTTTTTTCTATGACAAATATGGAAAAATTCTTTATAATAAGATGGTAACAACTCGTCCACGAGTGTGCGCACTTGTTTCCCAAAAGTGTTTGAAGTTTCTATCTGGGTTTGTTGACTCTTTCTAGCACATACACATACACACACTTGAGAGAGGGGGGGTCACTTCGCAACAAGTCTGCCGCGAGAAAAAAAAACGCCTCCCAACAAACTCTCAGGATTAGGATTAAAAATTGAAGAGAGAGAAAGAGAGTAGGGATCGATCCTGCTTGGCGAGATGTTGGGTGCAAGGACCTTAGGGTGGATTTAAAAAAAAAACCGGAGGCAATGATCGCTAAAGGTCAATGGCGTTCGTTTGTTTATTATGACGGAGAGACAGAGAGAGTTGGTAGGTGGATCAACTGGATGTCATAGGTGGCATGCGCAAGTTCGATGCCCGGATAGGTAAAAAAATCCAAAAATAATCTCCTCCCATACCTGATTAGTTGAGATAAGAGATATAACGATTCTCTTTTAATGAAGGGAAATAATCCTTGACGATGTTCCTTGGTTAAATATATTTTTGATATTGGGTGTATTTTTTTTTTTTAAATACAAATATTAACTAAAGCACATTTCAACGCACATCTGGACACAACGTGTCTCGCGAGAGTCAACGAAATACACGGCTGGCGAACTGACAGCAACTGACAGTTACCACGGGTTGTTCATTATTGAAAAATTCTGCCTTCCAGGCTGCTCTTGCGCAGCCGGCACGAACTACCAAAGACTCCCCACTATCAACCATCCCCGCTAAGTTAACACACTCCATCACCACCATAGAACTTCTATTTCCCATCAACAGTAACGTAACGAGATTTCTACATCAGGAGTTATAAACAGGAGCGTAGAAAAGATTATATATTTTTTCATGATAAAATAAAAACGTATATGGATCTTTGACCTCCTTTAGCAATCACTGATAACTACAAATGATTTGAAATTATTATCGTTAAAGGCAACTATCATTTATCACATTAAATATCCTTCCCTTAGAAAAGTTCATTCAATTGTTAAAAAGAGCCTAACTATCATTGTTTATTCACACAAGTGAAAAATGTCAAAAATCTCCTTACAGACATTTTGCTCCAAAATTTTTTTATCCTAAGTTTCGAGCAAATCGAATTTGTAAAAAATATACCAATATTTTCCAGTTGACAACAAGTCCTCTAATGTAAAAAATATATTACACTATTCAACAATATAAAACTATATATTAATGCCTGATTATCGTAAAAAGTCATCTAAAACAGATTGTTATTGTTAAAAAAAAAACATGGATGGGGTGAAGGGGATCATGATAGTAAGGTTATGTTTTTTCATTGACGTAAAAGTCACTTAAAGCAGTCATATATTAAAAAACAATGCAATTTCAACAAAATAATGTTATCAACAAATAATAGATTAAAAAATCAATAAAAACTCACCTCAATTAATCAAAAATAAATATTTTGTTGCATTCGTCACAGGCCATGGATGTCCAAAGATAGTAGAATGTATTTCCTCCTTTAGTAAATTTCGTACAATTTCCTCCATAATTTTCGAATTCCAGTGATCCATGTTTACGAGAATTGTAATATAATATAAAAAACACTTTAAAACACTTTTAAATAAACTGAATATTCACAATTTTTCCATGCAATCATATTTTAACATCACTTTCCTAATGTTTCCCTCCAATATTTATCAAAGATGGGTCAGTTATAGTCAGGTTCGTTACCACATACAGGGTTGGGAAATTGACGTTACCTTATCGACAGTTCTGAGTCAACGATTTTGATTGGCCCTTCCCCTAGGGAATTTTAAAAACTTCCAATCTTCTGGAAATTTATTAAACCTAAAAGAAAAATTTCCTGATTTCTGATTGGTTGACAATTATTCTGGAAACGGAATTATCCAATGAGAACACATAAAGCTTCTATCGATATATCGATTATATCTAAATACGTCTCTGATTGGTGAAGCAATTTAAAAATTCTCTTTGCCTTTATACATGGAATTTAATTTCTTTCTTTATAAGTTCCTAAAAAGAAATTTCTATTATTAGTGGAGAAAAATAAATTATTTAGTAACAATAAATATATTTTACATTTCTACAATAAATATAGTTATTATTAAAAGTAAAAATTGATAAAATTTGATAGAAAAAATAGTGTGTGCACGGATAATTAAAGATCTACTTGTAATTGGGCGGGCATCTGCTTGTATGCGCAGTAATTAATGCGCAGCGTCCGGTACGCACGAAAATCGAGTTTACTCGTATGACGATGTTTCCGTGAAAAAGTTGCGGTTTTCCGCAAATTGGCTGATGAATTTTTTAAAAATCTACTGAAAATATCCTCGTCTGGACGAGGTTCGTGATTTGACGACATTTTTCGAGGTAGAGCAAACGTCATAGGTGAGTAAAATGGTTTTTCTCTGATCGGTGTGTGCTTGGTGCTATATGTGGTCCCTAACGAATCAAACAAGATGGCTACCGGGTATTGGCGGTTCTGTTTATTTTCCCCAGAATGTACGCTACAATTTCATTAACAGTATTATTTAATCATAAAAAGTGTATTTTTCCTTGTGAAATTAGTGAAAAGTGTAAATTTTTTTAAAAACCTAATGTCATTTGGCAATTTTAACATGACCTATGAAAGAGGTTTGATCTAGGTGATTGATAGCAACGTGCTAAAACGATTATTTTCTTGTCTTGATATAAATTTGTTTTATCTGTTTAAAACACGACTCTTATCGTAATGAATAATTAAGTTTCATTATTTTTTTTCTTTTCCCTAAAAATAAAACAAGTTTAATATTGATCAAATTTTGCAGTTCTTTCATAACCTAGTTCTTTTTTTTATTGTTATTCTATATTTTACATACATATATATACCTATATTCTTGTGGCAATTTTTCATGCAATTAAAATTGTAGTAAAACATTTTTACCGTTACTTTATGTTTAATTTATTATTTATGACTAAATGGGTTTTCTTAATATTTCAGAAAGTGCAAGATGTCTAGTTCAATCATCGTGGAACCTCGAGATAATGCGACGAAAAAAGATGACACGTTAATTATTATGGTTAACGATGACGGAACAATTTCTGTTGACGAAGAAACTTTACAAAATTTAATAAGTGAGCATATTTTAGTCTGTTTTTTAAAACTCTACTCGTTAGTTTAATTTTCTAAAATTTTATTTACATATCTTATTTAGTTATTTTGTTTAAATTTTTTTATTCTATGAATTAAATTAGAAATCGATGCCTTGTATTTTAAATTGTAATTTTAAATTGTTTTAATTTACAAGGTTAGCAAGAGTACATTTTTACTGGACAATTTTCACGTATGTTTACATTACAATCGATTTCTTCACCTTGGAATAAAACATTTTCTTTTAATAAACTTTCAGTTCTTTAGAAACTTTTTTTTTTTTGAAATTTATGTAGAATTTTCTTTTCTATTTTTTCGTTATTAAACGGAAAGTTTATTTGAGAGGATTTTTATTCCGAGGTGAAGAAATTTGCCCCTAAATTGTTGGCAAAATTACAGTGAACCAGGCGAATGCAAATGTTAGTGTTGTGAAGTTGGGTCAAACAGAAGGTGACGCTGAGAACGGCGATATTACATTTACGGTTGATCCGCCACGTTCTACAGTTACTTCAGAAATAACCACAACGACAACATCATCAACAACAAATACAGAAGGAACAGGACTCGTTGATCCTTTCATGGAAATGGATCCCGAACAATTGGAAAGATTAGAAACTGCTTTGCAGAGCGAAGAGGCGAAACAAATTCTCGGCGAAAATGTTACAGCGATGTTAGGTAATTTAGATTCTTTATTTTTAATTAAATATTTTGAAATTTCGATTAATTTTCTAATTGAATTTTTCTTTTTCCAGACATGCTGACTGTCGAAGAAAGACAAAACTCGTTGAAACACAGTATCGAGTTGGATCATTGTTATACAACTAGATTATCTCCGTCGGAACCAAAAGTTTCCGATCCTTTACCACTTACAATATCGCCTGAAACGATTCAAAAATCACATTCAGTGCCGACGACTCCAACAGTTCCTTCGCCGTCTGTGAGTCCCGCTTCTGCAAATGCAGCTGGAAATTTAAAAACTGTGAGTATGAGTCAAAAAAAGCAAACAAAACATCTGCAAATTTTTGTGAATTTTTTTATAATTACATTTTTTATTTTTTTCAAGAAGAAAACTTTAACGGGACGGCCTAGAAGAAGTGCTGCTGCATCTTTTATAGGGACCCCTAAGACTGCCGGGACTGCAGCTTCCCGAAATGCAAATACTTATCAAGATAAAGGTAAGGAAATTTTTTTAAAAATTAACATCTAAATTTATTCATTTTTAAAATTAACAATTTTGATTCAAGGTGGCCATAAAGCTGATGATGATGCCGAGGATGATAATTCATCAATGGATATGACAGAATCTTCAGAATCAGATTCATCTGACAATGATTCCGATTTTGGACCTCGTGGACCACGAAGAGGTGGAGTGAGAGCAAGAGGAGGACGCAAGGGTCTTACAACAAGAGGTGGAAGTATGACCGCTCGAAGACGAGGTTCAAACAAACGCATGGACACCGAACAAGTGCGTCGACTCGATAAAGAAATGGCAGCAGCTGTTGATGCAATGAAAAGTCCCGAAAAAGAAGAGAAACAAGGTAAAAAAAACAATTTTTATTAAATTACATATTTAAAAAATTAAATTATTAAAAATAAACATATTTACAAATATTACCGCTTAAAAAATTGTTTATCACTTAATTTTTAATTAACAAGAAATTGTATTTTTAATATAAAAAAATTTAAATTTACACAGAGAAACCATCGCATATTAAAACAAAAAAACCAAGAGTGTTTGGAGGAAAGAAAAAAGATGAGACGCCAGTTTCAACACCCGAGACATCGCCAATTATTCATAAACCATTGCAAACGACAAATCAAGTGAAAGCAAATTTAATAAATGCAAATATGATTAAAGGCGATATGATATTAACAAAACCAGGCGAAGGAAGAAATCAAAATCAAAAAATTATTTTCGTTCAAAAGCAAATTTTAATGAAATCAAATGAAATGAAACAACTCGATGTTAAAAAATCCCCTCTTATTTTACCAAAAACTAAAAATCTTGCACAAACACCGACAAGTTCGAAAATAACCACAAAAGATGGAAAATTAGTATCGATACCTATGTTACCGAAATCAATTGTACACAATTCGCCGGGAAATCAGCCAAAAATTGTTACACTCGGTCAATTGCATGCTCAAGAACCAGTTCAATTATTACAATCAAGTCCTGTTCAACAACCACCACAACAACAGCAGCAGCAACAACAACAACAACAACAAATAATTAATTCTAATCAAAAAATACAAATTTTCACATCGCCTATTAAAGTGAAACCTGTTGAAGTTAAAAAAGAGAAGAAAAAGTCTGAAAATCTTCAGGAGTCGGTATTGAAGAGTAATGAAGAAATGAAAATTGCTGAAATTGGAAAATCGACGGATGTCAAAGGAACGCCTGAAGGTTTATATTTCTAAATATAAATACTCGTAGAATATTTTTTATAGAAATCGTGTTTTGTTTGAATATTTAAGAAAAAAAAATCTTTGTTTATTTTTAACGACAATTGGATTTTGCTTATTTTTAAGATTTTAAATTAGTCTTTTTATTTATATAAAAGTTTTTCATGTAAAATCATTAAGTGACTATTCCAAAAATTATGGTCATTTTACCGGTTTTTAACTCTTAAATTTAATATTGATTTTTCTTTATCTTTTTTTTTTAATAGTATCGCCGTATTTATTAATCTTTCGCGTAAAAATAAAGTATTTTACTCTATTGTCCAATTGTTGTCAAAAATTAATAATTTGTTGAGTGTTGGACGTTAAAAATTTTCGGAAAAAAGAAAATGTGTAAGAAAAAAATAAGTTATATGAGGCTATTTATAATTAATACACTAATAAATACATTTATTTTTTATTCCTGCTAATTTGCTATTTGCCTATTAATCATCTCTGAATATTATTATTATTATTGTTCGTATTTTATCTATTTGTTGCTTTATTTCTAAATGCTATTATGCAATTTTTATTCAACTTTTATTTATCTTTAAATCTTTAAATTGATATTAAAGGAATTTTTAAATTTTTTAATTAAAAAAAAAATTATAACAAATAATGTAGATATGAAAATTTCAATATAGAATTCATTAATTTCAGTCAAAGGTGTTTTTTTTAATTGGTTATCTTCATTTTTTTATTAGAAGTACATTTTCCTGTTTCAGTTGTGAAAAAGCATCATCATCATCATCAAAAGAAGGATCATCGAAAATCGCCGGCAACACTTGCTAATGCATTGGGTCCAGCATTATTTTCCACGCCTGATATTATTCGTCGTGTTAGTGTTGGAAATGAAACGGGAAAATGTGCGGAAAATTCTCCAACAACTCCAGTAACTCCAACTTCAAGTTCACCAGTTTTTAATCAACAATCAACAGTAACAACTCCTTCGATAACTTCTGTTAAAAATACAGAAATTATTCCACCAAAAACATTACAAATTTCTTCTTCTACTTCTTCTCCGCCTGTTGCGGTAGAATCAATTATTACACCGAATGCCACTGAAACAATTAATCAATCACAACTTCCATTGAATTCTGAACCTGAGACGATAAATTCACCGACTAAATTAAATGTGAGCTCATTAAATCAACAATCTTCTTTGGAGGAGGAATCCATGGATATTGACAATAATGAAAATAATAGTCAAGGCGATGTATTACCTACAAAAGAAACGAAAATCCCTGTTAAAGTTCCTCTGGCTGAGGAATTACAATCATCATTAGATCCTGGTGAGTTTTCATTTTAGTTTATATATTTAATTCATATTTGCATGTATTTTTTGTTTGGTTATTAATTTGGCACTCTTGAGAATGAGTATTTTGAAAAAAAGTAGAATAATTAATAATTGCATGTAAAATTAAAAACAATAGAAACAAGTGAAAATTAATTTTTATTATTTAATTTTATTAAAATTTTTTGTGATCGGAATAATTAGAAAATTAATAAATTGTAAAATTTCCATTTAAAACAAAAATTATTTTTTGATATTTCATGGTTAATATTAACATTTAACAAAAAAAGAACTATTTGAAAAGAAAAATAATATGTTTTTTTAATACTAATATTAAATTAACGAAACAAAAAATATTGATGAAAAATAGTATATTTCTTCTATTTAAATTTTAATGCTGTATTTTAAGTAAAAATAGCACAGCATGTGAATAGAAGAATATGGAGGATTTTTATTGTTTTAATTTATGCTTATTTTTTCTATTTAAAATTTCATTTGTTTAAATTGATAATTGCATTTTTCTTATGTAGTTTAGTAAATTTTTTTTTTTTGACAATTCAATTGTGCTGAATAATGTAAAATTCTTTTTTTTAATTTTCTCTTTAACATAAGAATGATTTTTTCAGTTTTTGTAGAAATATTTTTAAACAATTTTTTATTAAAGGTTATTGTACACTTTAGTGTTGATTGTATACTTATTTTTTGCAAAACTCGTATTTTTTTTGTTATTTTACCAAATACAGTTCCAACCGAGGGAGTTTCCCAACGAATGGAACAACCCAATGTTCCAAATGATATTGTTCCTAAACAAAGTAAGTTTCACTTATATTTTCATTATTTAAATTTTATTGCATTGAGTAAAATATTTTTATAATTTAGTAAAATTTAATTTATTCAAATTTTAATTTTCAAAATTAGTTTCTACAGAAAATATTTATACTATTTTTCATACAAATTCTGTTTGGGTAAAGGGAAAACAATTTTTAATTTAATAAAACTATACCAGTAGATTGTGTAGAAAATTATATAAAATGCCAAAATTTAAATTATTGTGAATGTATTTGACAATTGTAATTGAAATTGATTTTTTATACAATAGGCAAAATGGCATTTTGATTTATTTCTTTTTGTTTAAAAGAGAATTTTGTTTTTTTAGGTGGAATTGAAGGAGAGGAACATCTTCTTGCCACATTGGAAATGGAAGCAACAAAACATGAAGATGATTTATTAGCTGAAGCTTTATTACTTCAAGAGGAACTCGGTGTTGATTTGGCTGTATGTATTTTATTCTTTTCAATATTCTCTTCATGTTTATCATTATTTTATTTAATATTCCGCTAAATATTTTATAAATAATTTAATTTTACTGTAGGAAATGATTAATTCCCAAAATTTTGAATTAATGTTTAGTCTGGACTCGACCAGTCAGCAGATTCTGAACCTCTCTTGTCACCGTCAGCGTTCTCATCTGTTTTATCACCAAAACAACAGGCTGAAGTAAAGCCAACACAAACATCAACAGTCGTCGAACCTTTTAAAGTGACTTCGCAACATGAGCAACAGAAAAGAAAAGAGGAAAAGGAACCAATTCAAATAATACGTGGTGGACGTATTATAACTTTACCTCCCATTGAAGCTCCAGCAACGCGTAGCAAAAAATTACAAGCCATGAATGATAAGCCCCCTCAACAAAAGGAAATTGTTGTAAAAGAAGAGAAAAAGCCAAGGTGAATATTAAATTAATGAATTTAAATTTAGAAAAAGAAATTTTACTCGTTGAAATTTTGAAAAATTAATTTTTCTTAATTTTCAGTCGATCAAGTGTAAATGAATTAATTCCTAAAGAAGATATGGAATTAGATGATGAATTTGAGGACGAAAGCGGTAATTCTGATTCTGAAGATGATCCCGATCGATTGTGGTGTATATGTAAAAGGCCACACAATAATCGATTTATGATTTGTTGCGATGTTTGCGAAGATTGGTTTCATGGCAAATGCGTTAACGTCAGCAAAGCTATGGGTAAATTTTTTACTAAATTAGTTTTAATAATTAAATTTTCAACAAAAAAAAAAAAATAGATTCCATTAATTTAATATTGAAAAAATATTTCAGGACAACAAATGGAGGAACAAGGTGTTGAATGGGTGTGTCCAAATTGTTCAAAAAAGAAAACTGAAGAAACAAAAGGAAAACATGCTTCGCCAGTGATTTCGAAACGTAAATCAACTGAAGCTCTTTTCCAAACATTAGATGGCAAGTCCAGTGGATTGTCTAGTAGTAGTAGCAGCAGCAGTAAAAAGGTGACGCCTGTCATTACCGAAGGTCCTTCTACTGAAAAGACAGCTCAAGGTTCTGGAATAACACAGTGTGTTGTTTGTAAGAAGGAAGCAAGAAATTCCAGCATTTATTGTTCTGATAATTGTATTTTGGCTCACGCTCAAGAAACATGCACCAAAGATAAACCGGCTTCAACACCGTCGCCAAAAGCGTCGAAACAAGATTTTCTTAAAGGCAAACTCGATGCTCGAGTTATGGTTTTTGATAGAAAAACAGGCAAAGTTCTTTCGGGTAAGTTATATTTGTCCTCAAATAATATTCTTTGTCTAAATTTTTTTTGTCACCATTTTTATTATAAAAAATAAATTTTTGCAATTAAGGTGCTGGTGCTCCGACAGCAGGAAATCTCAAAAACTGGCTAAGGGAAAATCCATCTTACGAAATTGTAAGGCCAAATAATTTGAATACTTTCAAAATTGCTGGAAAAACAGTTACAGCTATTCAAACTCAAGAATCGTCTAAACAGGTATTAAATACATTTTTAATGAATTGAATAAATATTAAAATATTAAAATTCCTTTTTTTCAATACATTTTTATTGTAGAAAAAAGTTTTTAACAAAATTTGTTTTTTATAGCTTAAAGTTTCGCCTGTGAGACGTGAAAAAATGCAGTTACATCCAAAGATGATTTTTGCTAAAGTGCCAGGTTCAAAGCAAACAATTTTAGCTGCCAGTTCAAAGAAAACAGTTCTTGTTCCTGCTGAAAGTATTGCAACAATAAAAATTAAAGTACCACCGCCGCAAAAAGTGCCTATTTTAAGGCAAACAGTACTAAAGACCCCACCATCACAACCACCACAACCATCATCGTCATCATCTGTGAAAATACAATTGTCAACGCCTAAACAAATAAAACGACAGGAACCAAAAACGCCAACACAAGTCAGACAACAACCAATAAAATCACCATTAATTGCCAAGAAACCCGAAACAGAACCAATTCGAGTTGCTGTTAGGAAAACAATGTCAGATGCATTAATTGCTCGAATAAAAGCTACAGATGATTTAAAATTAACACAAGATGAAGTCAAAGAACTCACACTTAATATTGAACTTGAATTATATAAATATTTCAAAGACACTGGTGCCAAATATAAAGCAAAATATCGAAGTCTCGTTTTCAATATAAAGGACACAAAAAATTTGACACTCTTTAGAAAAATTGCCGACAGATCATTAACACCTGATGCAGTTGTGAGATTAAGTCCTGAAGAAATGGCAAGTCAAGAATTAGCCGAATGGCGTGAAAAAGAAACAAAACATCAACTTGATATGATTAAGAAAAATGAATTAGATCTTATGGCACAAGCAAAATCAATAGTCGTTAAAACTCATAAAGGCGAATTAGTTATTGAAAATGATCGTGCTAGTGATAATGTCGATTCAAAATCGTCTGTTCACGATATTGTCACAGCTTTGAATAGTGAAAATAATATTGATTCAACGGAAATTAATAAAAAAGAAGATGATTTAAAAAAATTGAAATTCGATGATAAAAAAGACAAGGAGAAATATCGTTCGCGTGATCGTGAAAAGGGAAAGAAACGTGATAGAAGTAAAAATCGTCATCGTCATAGTCGTGAGCGTGAACGTAGTAAAGATCGAAAATCAGGCAAGAATAAGGATAATAAAAAAGAAAAAGATCGCGAAAGAGAAAAGGGACGAGATCGTGATAAGGAGAAGAAACATAAAAAAAGTAAAAGTAAGAGTCACAAGAGTCATAAGGAATATAATAAAGAAAAGGAGAAAATTCAAGAGGAGATAAAGAAGGAAGAGAAGAAAGAATTAACACCACCGAGAATGGAACCACCAATTGAAGATCGTCTTTGGCGTCATATTGACGATGATACAACGACAATTGGTTTTGTTAATTTGGACACAAATGATTCTGATTTATCCGATCGTGAGCCAAGTTCAACAGTGAATATTAAAACACCCGATATTAATGAAGATTTCGAGAGGGAAAAGGAAGTGGAACCTGAGGAAGAAAGAACTTCACAACAAACAGTGTGGAGTGGTTTTGTTTGTATGCCTGATGTGGCGAAATTTTACATAACCGCACAAGAAGTTAGTGGTAATTCACGTGATCTTATGGAAGATTTACCAAATACCGTTGATGTTGTGGGGAGAATTGGTCACGATACAGTTTGGGATTATATTTCAAAAATGAAAAAAAATGGATCAAAAGAAATTCTTGTTATTCGACTGACTGCCGCTAATGATGAAGAGAAAATTCCCTATATTACACTTTATAGTTATTTAAATAGTCGAAGTCGTTTGGGTGTCGTTGGCAATGTTTCAAAAAGTATCAAGGATTTCTATATAATGCCATTCTCGAATTTCAGTAAAGTACCAAGTGTTTTGCTACCATTAAAAGGACACGGATTTGAGGAAGAACAACTTCTTTTGGGAATTATTGTTCGCAATAAACGAAAGCGTATCGCATCATCGGCTCCTCTACTTCCTGCAATGCCGACAAAAATTATTAAAAAAGATTCCGATCGCAGTTACACACCACCGCCGCCTCTTGTTCATCTCTCGCCAAAGGATAAAAATCCCTCGCCACCAACTTCACCGCGATTACATCACAAGGGTATTACCGATTCATTACCTGAGAGTAAACACATCACACAGCATACACTCGAAACTTTAAATAAGGCACAAATTGGTATGTCAAGAACAATTCTTGATAGTGCAACAATTTCGAAAATTGTACCTGAATTATCGTCGAGAATTGATTTGACATCAAAACCACAAGATGAAGATGATGATGAGCCATATAGTCCAGGTGAAATGGATGAAGATCTTGATAATAATGATGATATTGTTGATGATGATGACGATGATGGCGATGATGGTTCAAAAGATATGGAAACTGAATTATTATCAACGAATAAAGATTCTAATAGTGAATTACAAAGGAAAATGGATGAAATAAATCGTCAAATTGAAGAGCAAAAACAACAAATTCAAAATATAAGCTCATCGTTCCTTGGTGACGTGACAAATACATTGCCGGTGAGATATTTATTATCATCAGGAATTATCCAAGATTTCGATTCGTTACTGTTTTGTCGTCTTGGTATAAATAAACGAATTTTCTCATCTTTCCTCCCTTTCCTTGTCCATTCAAAACTGTTTCAGTTTATGAGTGAGAGAATAAGTTGCGTTTGTGGATGATAAGTTCTAGTCGTAAAATTTATTTATTTATTTAAACTTTATTTTTTTTATTTTTTAAATCAATTTTTTATTTAATTCTTTTTAAGTTTCAAGAATTTTTGAATATTTTCGTTAAGTTTTAATTTTCTTTTTTCTTTTATTAATTTTTTAATTTTGTTGATTTGTGATATTTGTTGAATGACAATTTTGAGAAATTTGAAAGTATTTTAATTTATTCATAGAAATTTTAACAATTTTTGGGGCTCGTGAATGAAATGCAAACAAACTTTTTTTCAATTAAAATTTCAAATTTTGTCAATTATTAATGTAGGACTAATTAAATTTTAGTTTACTGAATAGAATTTCATCTGTGATAAAGGAATTGTAAATATTTTGTTTGATACACAATAAACACATTTGAGAACATATAGTTTTTCAAGAAAATTGAAGTACACCTCAAATTCTAATTTCTCACAAAAATTCTTGTCTTTCAAAAGCTCTATACATTTTTTTCTTCATTAAATTAAATTTTATATTATAATATTGAATTAATTTTGAATTAAAAGGAAAAATAATTTTCTTTTAGGGTTTGGGCCTCGATCCAGAAACAAATGAAGGCGATGACGCGTACAGTCCATCGGACACACGTTCATTCACGCCACCACCACAGGGTTTGAAATTCACGCAACCAATTTTGGATAAAGTCTCGGACATCACAATTCCTCCGAATCTACAGGAGATTCTTGCAAACGTAAAACGTCAGGAAACCTCGAAAGTAGATCCTTATCTTCCGTCAAAGCCAAGTGCATCATTCCTCACGTCAGTAAACACTTCCAGATCAACAAAATCGGAAAAATATTCAACATTCAGCAAGGGAACAACATCGTCGTTAGCCAAAGAAAGTAAAACAACCAGCACCCTCAGCTCAATGAGTGAATTGGATTTAATTAAAAAAGCAGCTGAACAATTGGCTGCCGAGACATTGCCATCGACAACACCGCCTTTGGTATTGCCACCATCACTCTATCCAACAATTGTTCCACCTCCAACACCGGTGATGCCACCACCTTTACCACCGCCTCCACCTGCTGCAACAACAATTCCAATCATTCCATCGTTGCCGGCAATTCCAATTGTTTCATCGATTCCACTTGTTGCGACAAATCAAATTTCACCAATTGCATCAACAACATCAATTATTGATACAACAACAACGACATCAGACGTGGCTGATAATAAGACGATAAATTATCCAATAAGCGATTCATTGCTAATGAAAACAAATCTTGCTTCCAATCAACCACGACCACCTGGTCTTGAAGATGATGAAATCCCAAGTTTTTTAACAACACCGGCAAAGAAACCCGAGAGCCCTTCCAAAATTGCGCTTCCTACTAAATTCATACCCAAAAGTGGTGTTGTGTTAAGTGTTAAACGAAAACTAAACGATAACGATTCAACGCCTTCCAAAACTCCAAGGACAAAATCATCAAGGTGGGGACAACCACCACCATCGGAGTAGACATTTTTCTTTTCTTTATTCAATTATTGCCTTTTTCCAGGACATACAATTATTATTTTTATTATTGTGTGTGTGAATCAAAATCCATGAGAGTTGCGAGTACAATAGATTTTATTTCTCGTATACTTTAGAGAAAGAAAAAAAATAGCTCGGTGTCCTGGATGCTGACGTGACAAATTTTTCCAAAAATAGTGTCTTTTTTTCGAATTAAACACTTTAGAGACTTTTTATTAAATTGAAAAAGAAATTTTTTTAAATGTTTCCGACGAACATTTCTTTTTCAAATTAAACATAGATCAGATTTTTTAAAGCCTATTGGGCTGTTTTAATTATTATTTTTTTATTTTTTCAAGAGCAAAACAAAAAATCCTATTCCAAAATTTTCTACATCGTATGCTTTTTTAAAAAATAGAATTTAATTTCTTACACTTCCTCTTTCTTTTTTTACTACCTACATGTAAATTCAAATTAGAGATTGTGTATTTTATTTAATAATAATTATAATATTAAATAGAAAAAAATGAAGTAAATAAGCAACGAAAGTGGAGATTTTGGAAAATTTTGCTTAAAAAATAATAAATCCGATCTTTTTTGAATAAGGTTTACAAGTAGAACCTGAAAAAAATTGATTTCAAAATTCAAATGACTTTTTTTTCTTGTTATATTTTATATTCGGCATTGTTCGATATTCTGAAGTCGAAATTACAGGAAAAGATTTTTAACTTTTCATATTTAAAAAGAAATTTATTATTAATAATCAAAAAAAAAGTAAAAATCCATAAAATACACAGATTAATTAATTTATTATTAAAAAAAAATTCATTAATAAAAATTAATTGATTAAAAAAAATTCAAAGGGCAAATTTCAATACACGGAAATGTATTTAATTTGCGAAAAAAATGTAATTTGTTGCAAAAATTGAAGAAATGCGATTAATACTAAAAATATATTATCCGTGCTTTATAATTATAGTGATAAAAAGTTTAATTTCAAAAAAAATATTTTTTTTAAATTAGATATCAATAAGGCTTGTAAAATGTAGAATTTTTCGTCGTGTTTAATTGTAACAGCATCCAAGCACCTCTCTTATGTAAATACCAAAGTGAAAAAGAAAAAAAATATCGAAACACGCAGTACGATTCTTAATACCGTATATTATAATCACAAGCAAAAAAAAACAAAGAGAACAAAGAAAAGAATGTAAATAATCTAAATTAGGAGTGTAAAATATTTTACGAAAATTTCGAAAGGGAGAGAGAAAGTTTAAATCGAAAAAACGTTCACAGCATCACACTCTCGTATTGGCTGTGTAAATATCAAAAACAAAAAAGAACAAAATATTTCTATGACAATGTTTTGTTGAGAATAATAAAAATGTGATTATGTCGAACGGTAAATAGAGTAAACGGCGTGTCTAACAAATGTTTCTTTTATATATGTTTACTTAGCTTTTAAATTTTGTTTTTCATTTTTTTTTCTTTTTTTTTTGTTCATTGACAAATATCATAAATTAGTTTATTAGTGAAAGCTAGAATGATTTAATAAGAATTTTAGAATCAAGCCGAAGCCAAAAAATTCATATTTTTCAGATTCTTTAATAATTAACAAATAAATTGTTTAACATTTAAAAAAATACAATTTGCTGTATGTTAAGTAAACGACGTGTAAGTTTAAAAAATTGTGTAACTTAATTTTTTTTTTTTTTTTTTTGTTAAGAATGCTGACAATTGAAAAATTTTTACATTATTATTTTTCTTTTATTTTTTTTTTCTCTAATTGGGAAAATTAATTTCTCACAAAAAACATTTAATTAAGCTTCTTTTTTTTTAAATAATGTGAAGAGTAAAATTGTTTTCAATTTTTAGCATTCATTTTTTTGCGAACATTCTCGCGTGTAAAAATCTTACCTTTATAAAGTTCGCTAAAACATATTTTTCCCCCTAAGTGGAGAAAAAAAATTCACTTTTTGGTTTTGGCACGAAACTGTTGAATGTGTTCCATATTGTATGAATGATTAGAATTGTGTAAATTTCATTTATATATAGAATAGTTATTGTGTAAACACTATTGCAATTCTATAAATTTCCAGATAAAAAAGCCATTTACTAATTAAATTTCATTTTACTTTAGAAAAAAAATTTCATTATATCGTAATTAAAAAAAGAAAAAGAAAAGAATGCTTGATGCCTGTGCCATAGTTCTCGTGTTTGCGCTGATTTTTGTAAATATCATTTATTGTTAAATAATTTTTGACCATTTAATATAAATTCTAAAATTCAATTAATTAATTACTTAATTAATAAACAAATTGATTAATATTCAAGAAAGTTGAATTCCAATATTGGAATTCTTTAATTTTTTCCAAATTTAATTTAAATTAATTAATAAAGTGCAGTTAATGTAAGTAATTTAATATTACATGTTTTAGATACAGTGGATAATTTTTTTTCTTCAAATATATTTTAGAATGTGACGAATTTTGAATGTAAAAAAATATTGTGCGTATGTTTTTAATTTATATTCTGGTATCCAGCATTCTTTGATTCTTTTATTCTACTTTATACAGTAGGGAGAAGAGGCATTATTCATAAAGTCGCACTACTGAATATTAATTTTTTTTTATATTTATATGTAAATTTAACATATTGAATCTGTATAATTTTATCTTACAAGTCATGTTGTAAGATTTTGTAAATAAAATAAATTTTGTATAGTTTTTACAATAATTCGCCTTTAACTTTTGCATTCGCTTATTTTCAAATTTTACTTTAATAATTGTTTTCAGATATATATTTTAAAAAAAGTTTATTCTAATTAATTTTATTTTTATTCATATATGTAGTAATTAATAGTCAATTGTTATTAATTACTTCATAAATAATTAATAAACAAATTAGTTTATTAATTGACAAATGCAATTAATTTATTATTAATTAATAAATTAATTACTATTGCTGTTAATTATTAAAAGTCATTTATTGATTGAAAACTAATTACTAAATAATAAATGTTCATTTAATTACTTATTAAGTTTAAATTTTAGAAGAATTATTAAAAAAAAAAATTATTTTTAAATTCAGTAGTGCGACTTGTAAAAGTAGAATGCTTATTATCATAAAGAATAAATCAATTTCAAGGTAATAATTGCATTAAAAATTAAGATTTTGTTAAAATGCACAAATTTCTTATGATAAAAAAATGTAATGTCAATTACGTATCATTTTAAAAGGCCGCAGGTTTAAACAAAAAAATATTTACTTTTTTTGGGGTAAAATAAAAATTGTAAAAATCGATTTTCATTACAAAAAAAGCCTGCAACAAATTATATTATTTTCATTTGCAATTATTTTAAATTCATATAAACGGATTTTTAAAACATGCATTTAAAATCATTTTCAGTCGATATCTATTATATCGGACATTATAAAACTGTAAATATAGGTTTACTTTCATGAGACTTATTTACATAATTATAATAAGCATTGAAGAGGTAATAAACAATTATTAATTTAATGTTTTACGTTATTGTACTTTGAATTAATACCAATAATATCTATTTAGTCTTTAATTTAAATAAATTTAATTAATAAAAAAAAATTTTTATTTCAAAAATCATTACATATATTCAAATAATTCAATATCATACAAATTTTAAATGTTCGTAGTCAGGACATGACTACACAAGTCAATTGACAACCAATTACAAACATTAATAATTCAATTTTGTCTGTTGAAAGATAATAACAACTCAATTAAGTATCGATAGTATAACATAATTATGAATTACAGTTTTCTGTAATAATGGAAATTAGTTTAAATAAGGTAAACAATTTTCCAACAAAAAAGGTAAAATAAAAAAGCGCGTGCGCGGTAAAACAGTGCGCATGCGTCAATTACGTATAATTCAGGATCGTCTAAAGAGTTGCATATTATCAAAAACTTTAAAAAACTTTGTACTATTTTAAATTGAAAATAATTCCTTAATGATGGAGAACAAAATTATTATTTTATTTTTAATTAACACTGAAAATAAAATGGTTTTCCATGGTAACACTTTTTAACCTTTTTAAATTGTCATAACCTATAAGATAGAAGCTGTTTTTTTGTCCTGAATTTTAAATTCTTTTATAGATATTATAATTAGTAACAAAAATAATTGGGAATCTTGAATAATGTCATTGTAAATCAGTTTAATTTTTAAAAAGACACTAAGGAAAATTGGAGTAATTATTGTTACGGTCCTGGTAAAAAAAAGAATTCTGTGGAAGTGGAGTTGAAGCCAATTTTAGTGGCCCTGAGTGGCACGCCATGTTTTTCATCGAGTAAGGTGTGAAGTGAAGGCCGGGGTGAAAAATCATCTCTCGGGATATGCAGGTATGTGAATTAAGAAAAAATCCCTTCATTTTGACAATGTTTGTGTTTATACAGTGAATTTTCAGTGAATCAAGTGCATTTAATATATGTAGACAATTTTTTTTATTTTAACAACGTCACACGCGTTTAGTCGTCGTCTTCGTCGTTAGTTTCTCTCTATAGATCCCTATATATGACTCAGGGGAAACAACGCAATCAGCAAGGTTATTTGCATTATGCAGCTGTCGCGAGCTCAAATGTCGTCTCTGTCAATGCATCAAAACACAATCAATTTCATTGTTCATCATAAACTGTAATATTCTCCATATTCTCTCTTGTTTTCGTCATGAAATTTTCGAGATGTCCTAAAACAGTCAATAATGAGTAGGATTGTTGACGTAAGAGTCATGCAAGTGACACGATAACTTAAAATTCCTCTCTATTTATCTATTTTTATAATCATTTTGTAAATAAAATTACAAAATTGTAATTTCAAATTGATTATCTTGAATTAATTATCTTTTTTTTCGTACGTGCAATAAGTATATACATATATGTGTGGAATAATAAATATTTTGATTTGACGTGTCACTCGGAAATTGTATTTCACGAATTGGAATTCAAAGAGTTTCTAATCGTGAGATTGTGTAAAAAAAGAGTTGATCCAATTTTGTTTCAATTTTCTCTCTTGGATGTTAAATATCGATTATTTAGAAATTAATGGCAATTGAAAGCGTAACAAATATCTTGCTTTTGCAAGAGTTTGTATTTAAGTTACCATTATTATTTTACAGAAAAGAATAATAAAAAAAAAGAATGCAATATCAAGGAGACGAATTTCGAAACAGTTATGTCATTGATTGAAGAAAAAGTGATGAGTTCTTTTTTTATACTCCAAAAGTTTTAAATTGTACAGTTTAGAGAATAATTGAACTATTTTTACTGTTTGGTGATTTTAATAGATATTTTGATTGTTAATTTAAATATTTTCAAAATAATTTTTTTTTACAAAATTTGTATTTGTTTAACAGAGTCAAAATGGAAAGGAGGCAATATTGTTTATCCCACTGTAAGGCCTGTCATCCTTGTAACGACGATACCTCCACCAATTGCGCACCTGAACCCGACATTTAATTCTACGATAAAGGAACCAAATAATAAAATAATACTGTTAAACATTCACTTATAATCAACAAGAAAATTATTCGTAGTAATATATTAAGTCGGAAGAAGGAGTTGGATCTGTTACATTCAAGAAATAAAATTCCCAGGAACAAGAAATTTTAATCATAAATTGGTAATTTAATAATTTAATATTTATATTTTTTTTAAGAATATATTTGAAGTTATTTGACGAATTTGTTTTTTCTAAAGAAGAGAGGATGATCACCCCGGAAGTAGTAAAGATCGAGGGAGTTAACGAGACTTGGAGGAAACTCCCGACGAGGGAATGAGGAATCCAGGGCTGCATTTGGTCGGGATAGCGGCGTCCCCTGGAGGAGGTGGGGTCTTTGGTACCATGGCCGAGGAGGAGTTGCGCCAGTGGCTGGACACACGCTTGGACGAATTGGGAATTGACCCAGTGGCGTACTCGCGTTTTATACTCAGCTTTTTGCGCCACCCCGACTCGGCCCTCACTCCTCCTGGAGAAGTTGTTACTGGTAAAGGAAAAGGACGTCGTTCCCGTGCACGTCCCAAATCAAGACTACTACCGCTCCAAGAAGATAAAGAAAAGAAACGTGCTGTTGTTCAATGCCTCACAAGTGCCGCTGATCAGGTACATTTTTTTTTTTTTAATTTCATTTTTCTTTACATTTATAATAAAAAATTTTATAATTTCAGAAATGTGGAGTTGAAACCCTAGTTGATGAATTGTGTGCAAAATTGCGAGATTTAGAAGGAGGAGCTTCAAAAAACGATGAGGAAAATCATGAGAAGGAAGTTGTAACAAAACCAGCATTGGAAACTCTCACACCACAAGATAGAGCTCTCAGATATTATGCAGCATTTCCAGCTTTACAACCAGCTACACCAAAAAAATTTCAGCACAGAAAGGAGAAAAATTTTGGCTCAACTATTGTCAACAATAACAACATTAATAATAATAATAACAATAATAACAACAACAATAATTGTAACAACAACAGAAATGGAATTGGCAACAAAAACAACAAAAATCGTCCAAAGAAAACTAAAATGTCCATTGTGAGTTGGTTTCTTTTTTTGATAAAACATATTTATGAAATTTATTAAATTTACTGATTTACTGATTTTTAGACAATTGAATCGCAGCATGAGAGCGAGAAAGAAGGATTTGGATTTGCAAAATTAATGATGGAACGTGAACGCGATAATGAAAAAGAAGAGGAAATTGAATTGGATAAACTTCGACTCGCGCAATTAACGGCAAAGTTTGATGAGTCTTTGGAAGCTCTTTGGGATACAGCATCTGGCAATTCACAAGGCACTGATTCAATCTGGGCAGCACCTTCGCTCTCAATTCCATTGAAGCCACTTTGGCCAACTGACGGCAATGATACATCATCGTTTACTGTTTCAACAACATCGAGCAGCGAACACGTGGTGGATACAACGCCGTTTCAGGAATCTATCGTTGACGACTCACCGCTTATTCCCTGGGACCTTGATTTAGTTGGCACTAAGGAACGTTCTGATGAAATCGCTATCAAAAATAACACACGTACGTTTTTTGTTCACTTAATAATGTAACATTTGCTATTAAAGATTTTTATTTTTAAATGTAAAATATTTTTTTATTGAGGATTTTTTTTTTTATAGATTATAACGTGACTTGGTCAGAGACATTGGATGGCTCGTGGTGTTGGCGAAGTATGGACAAGGATGTTGTAACGACTAATAATACAAATCATAGTCCTGAGAATAATGAAAATTCAAATGTATCATCGAAAAATAATGATACAATTGGAAAAAAAGAGGCACGTTTCGCGCAGAAGGTAAACAGCCTTCAGGAGCCTGATGAAGATTTATTGACATCGGCACGCACTCATTTTCGTCCAATTCGTGACGATGGGCATTGGGCGGATGGTACAACATTTCCCGTTAATGATGCCATTGAACGTGTCGCATATCAACGTAGTGAATCGGGCAATTTGCTCTATTTACCGGGTGGCGAAAGCCCCTATATGGAATATCGTGAGAGCGATGTGTCAACAACATCATCGTCATCGTCATCGGTGTCGACAAATCTCACATTGAAATTTCGTGTGAGACAATGCGACAAATCGATTCAAACAGAACCCATTAGATCGCCGGTCAAACGCAGAATCCTGTCGGAACAAGATCGAGTTTATTATTCATCGTCCGACGTTGAAGAAACTGCAAAGCAAGAGATTGATGATACGGAGAAGGATTGTTTCTTTCTGGAACAATTGGGTTGGACTCAGTCCAATTTGCTCTTGCACAACGAGAGAAAAAGGTATTTCACTCTTTTATTTTAATTTGTATTATTATTATTATTTTATTTATTACTCTTTAAATAACAGGGGGGAAATAATCGTTTTTTATCAATAGAAAATAGAATTATTAAATCGAGCTTTCAAGAAACTTGTAAAAACCAGAGAATTTTATTTGATATGACAAAGAAAAAAAGTCTTTGGAAACTTAAAAAATCATTTTTGAATTTTTTTCGTGTTTCTCTAAAAGTTTAAATTATAAATAAATTAATTTGTAATTAAAAATTGATTTATATTCATCAAATAGTAATATAATTCTATTTAATATTTCACTTTCTCCATTAATTGATAAAAATCGCAAAAATATTAATGTTAACTTTAAAAGTATATTTCATCTATTATTTTACATCTTTAAATATATTTATTTAAATTATTTTAAAATATATTCGATATTTGAATTTGTTTACAATTAATTTTTTTCTTGAAATAAAAACCAGATAAAAAATTGAAGTATCTACGTTTTTCGTGAGAAAATACATAATACATGAGTATTTTTATTTAATTTTAATCTCAAGAAAACGAAACTTATATGTCGGATAATATATATTTAAAAACATTAAACTCGAAATATTTATAATTTTTTACATATTAAACAGGCCCCTACGAAATGTGAATCATTTTTTATAAATATTATTGAAAATTCAGTCACGTACATTTGCTTACTTTTCGCCTTCGAATGTTGTTAATTTTGAAATATTGTGACGTGAAAGTTTTCAATTGCGGCCGTGTGAGCGGGAAACGAGCAAAAAAAAAAGAAAACTTGATTAAAAGAGAAAAACTACTGGCGAACGTAAGCGCTATTTCAATCATTTTTTTTTCTGTTTTTGTTTTTGATGACAATGAAAAATTGAGGGAAGACACGTAAAAAATTTTTTTCCGCCTTTTAAATGAAAAACAAAAGAAAATTAGAATGTCAAAAAGTACTGGAAATCGGTTAACAATCAAGGGAAAAAAATAAAAATACGAAATAAAGTAGTTGGAATAATAAAAATAATTCTATTATAATTTCTTATTTTATTTTAATATTTTTTAATTATTTTTAAATAATTTTCATCTTTTTTAAAAGTGAATTTTTTTTTTAATTAATGAATATTATGGAAATAAATAAAAAAGATCTTATTAAAGAAAAAAAAACGTATATGCTTCAACGAGTATTGGAAATTTTATTTATTATTACAGATTATTTATAAATATATATTTTTTTTTGTTAAACAGGAGATACAGTAGCAGTTTTAGCTATCGACCACTGACAGCTTTACGCCCGTTGACTTTATAAAAGAAAAACAGGCTGTAAATTCTGTTGTGAAACCCATATGACCGGCAATTTATGTTTTAGCTATGTATTTGTCAAAAATATAAGACAAAGAAACAAAAAGAAAAAAATGGGCAAAACTGTAATTATTTGGCGTGTGGGGGTCCTCTTGGCATGTGGAATTTGTTATGCATGAATCCAAGATGGCATTGTTACCTCCCTTGCCTCCTTTAGAAAATAAAAAGCAGTTATATTAAAAAAAAACAAAAAAAAAAAAACAAAAAAAGCAAGTCAAGAAACATTGAACATGCGACGAAACTTGTAACTATACAGTTTATTTAGAAGATTTATTTATCAATTAACCTGTTTGTCGAGAGAAAGAAAAAGGGTAAAAGAATACAAAAAAAAAAATAATAATAATAATTATATATCTGATACCTCGTTCGACGAGAATTTTGTTTTTAAAATCGTCGACAAAAAGTAGTACGAGTGATATTATTTTTTTGTTTTATTCATTATTAATAATTAAAAATTGTTGACGAATTTTTTCCTTTTCATTTTATTTATTTTAATTTTTTTTTTTTTTGCTTTTTATTGAAAAGCTGAGAAATTTTGATTCGCTCTTGTTCAAATAGCGCATTACACACGTATTTTACATACATATAATGCTTGTTTTTTAATTTCCGTTCTGGCACTCGGAAAATTTTCAATACGTGAAAAAAATTTTTAACTTCACGCGCAGAATATTTAAATGAATTAAAAATAAACTTTTAATAATTAAACAAAATATGTATTACAAAAAGAAAACTGATTCACGTAAAATTGAAAAAAAATATCCGATAAAAATCTATAAAAAAAAAATCTTAACGCGTACTGCACCACGCTGACAAGAGTAAAAAAAAGCACTCAAAGTTTTATTCTATTTTCCTTGTTATTTTCTGTAATTATATCTAATGAATTATTGTAATTGTATTTTCCCAATTATATTTTAACTCCCTAGATAATTAACACTATCCCCCTTTTTATTCCCAAATTCCTGGTACCTTTATGCTTCCCTTTAAACGAAAAAAAAAAAAAAAAAAACATAAAAAATTCCTTGAAAAAATTCTACGGAAAATTGACATTCGGTAAATTAGTGATAAATTTTAAATTTATTTTGATTCAATACAATAAATGAATATTTTTTTAAAATTGAAATTGATTAATAGCTGAAGTAGTTATATTAGTGTCGAAATAATAATAAATTACATAGTTGTATCGATATATTAATGCATATATTATATCTTCAATTATAATATTTATTTATTTTACTGAATCAAAAAAAAGTGAAAATTATTTCTAATTTATTTATCGTCAATTTTTTTCCCCGTGCAAAATAATTATTAAACAAAAAAAAATTTAAAAAAAAAAAAAAAAAAAAAACCGTATGTGTATACAAAAAGTTGTATTTGTAAAAGTCCAGACCTCGAAAAGGTGAAGAGAGTGATTGAGTCACTACTAAGTTGTTCCTTAAAAGGAATCCAGTCAAAGAAGAAGAAGAAAAAAATGAAATATATAAAGTGAATGCAAATTATGCCGAAAAAAATAGAGAAAATGTGACAAATGTAATAAAAATGAAAGAGAATTATCTCTGAAAATAAACAATTGTACACAAAATGGAAGTGACCAAATAAAGGCAAAGCAGACATTGCAAATTTTTTTTTTGTTCAATTTATTTATTTTTCAAAAACCTCTTTCACTACAAACATAATTAGAAATTTTGAAATTAAAATTTCCAAAAAGAAACAATTACACAGAAATGTTGTATGTATTTTTTGTTTCTTTTTAAAATTTTGCAAGTAAAACACACAAGTCTTTTGTTATTACATGACTGAAATTTTTTTTCTATTAATACTGTTAATTTAAAATTAATTTTATGAAATTAATCATTGTAAAATGAGAGTTACACAGCAAATCAAATTATTTTATTGCTTCACTCACAGTGCAAATGAGTGTAAGATTATTATTTTTCAAAATTATTTCTGGTATTACATTATTAAATTATATTAGTTATTAATTAGCGATTAATAAATATACAATAATTATTCATAAATAATTGATTGATTTCAATTAATCATTTGCCAATGGAACAAAAATATTTTATTACTTTCAAAAATATATTTTCTTGAAAATATTTATTTCAATAAAGATTACGAATTTTTTATTTTTAAAATTTGTTAAAAATTAAACTTCTCCATATTTTATTTTTAAATACTATGGGCTGAAGTATTATTATATACAATAAATCTTTACGAATTTTTATTATTTATAAATATTTAAATTCTGTTTGAGAGGTAGAAAGTTGTGAATTTTTTTTACAAGAATTGAAAAACACTTTTTATCAATTTTTTTTCAAGGCACATTATTGGTTTGTATACTTTTTTTAAAACCATTTTTAAGATACATATTATGATTTTTTTTGTTTATATATTTTTTATAACGCAGAATTATTAAGAAATGTTATATATTTGAAAACACACCGCACAAATGACAGAAAATTTTCAATACATATTTCACGAATTATTTTTAATATTAAACGAACAAAAAACTGTTATACTGCTTTAAATAATAATTGAGTTAACAATAAGAGGTGATTTTTATGATAGAAAAATTGTTAAAATGTATTCAATATCAAACATTCGCAAACGAGAATTTATTATATAAATCACGAAAAACTTTTTTTAGAATTTTTTTTTCTATTAATCAATTTTCATTAGATGACCATTAATTTTAATTCTCAATATTTTCTATTTAATTTAATTCCTAATTTTTTTTGTAAACAATTCCTATCATTCTTGATAGGAATTAATTACTAGCACATTAATTTCAATTAATTTTCAAATCGATAAATTTATTATTTATTTATATCTATTTACTGTTTAATTTTGATGAATCATTTTTAAGTGAAACATTTTGTTTAATTAATATCAGAATATTTTTCTCTGTAGTTGAAAAATTTAAAAAAATTTTGGAAAAATATTTTACATTTAAATTGCAAAAACAGAGATTGTATATGGACAAAATGATTGTCAATATTTCCTTTTTTTGTCTTTTTTTTTTGCTTTTAAAGAAAATGAATATTCGTTTGACACGAGCGAAATTTTTTTTTAAATTTGTGTCCACGTTGAATTCTGATTGCTTGTAGTTCAAGTTTTTTTTTAGCTACACAAGAGAGAGAGAAAGATAATAAAAATTGTGTATTTTATTTTTGAACAATTTTAATAAATTATTTTCAGCTGTAATTAAAACTACAAGAAAGTTTCCAATTGAAAAAAGGTTTGTTATATTAAAATCTTTTTAAAATTCTTTTCTCTCTCTTAATTTTTAAGAAAAGAAATAGAAGAACTGAGGAAAAATTTTTTTAACTTAAAGAAATTAGTTCACTGAATGAAAAACTTGTTTCATTAGTGAGTTTTTTTTGCCTCAGAAATCTTAAATTAATTTTCCAAATAGACAAAATAAGATTAAATCGTCAATTTCGCAAGATTGGTTGATGATTGATCTACGATTGATGAGTGTAACTGAGAAAAATATATAAGACGCTTTCATGAATCGTTTTTTATATTTTTCCGAATCTCTCAACTTGAAGTCGATAATCAATCATGATATTCGATCTGATAGGATTTGAGGTTGCTGAAAGCGCGAAGCATCGGCTTTCATAGATAACGAGATTTTCAGTTTTTTTTTATTGCTTCTTTTTCTCCCGGTTTTTTCTTGTTTTCATTTCGTTATGCTCGTATATATGTAGCAGCAACCAGCAATTTTTTTTTTTTTTTGGAATTAATATCTCGATCTGTATCGAGTTTGAAGATGCAAAGCCTGCGTGGGAGCTGGCCGCAAGGTGAAAGCGATTGGCTTCACGTTTGGTTCGAGAGACTTGATTTTTGTAGTGCCATCGCCTCCGCCAACAACATTACCAACATCGTCACCTGCCGTTATTTCCATATTCTGTGGCTTTCTTGCCTTGGGACGACATCGATAATAATAGAATTCAATCATTAATGTGAGACAAGCCAATCCAATGCCGACAAAAATGACAATGAACACTCCGCCAATGTTTTGAATGCTGATTCCATCATTTCTGTCAGTGTCCCTGCTGCAAGTCTTTCTTTCCGAATTTCGATTCCACCATTTGTCTTTTAGCTTCTCCAATTTTCTCTTGTTCAACAAGACTAAAATTCTGTTAGAAAAACAAACATTTATTTATTTATTGAAAATAAAATAATTCTATTAAATTAATATTTTAAAATATTTTCTTGTCATCAGTTAATAAATTTATTTTGTCATTTTAACCGCATTCATTGTAAATAATGTTTAATATTTGAATATTTTCTCCCAAGGAATATTTCGTCTCAATATTAATATCAAGAGCTATTTATTTTCCTGGCTCGCCTAAAATATTTGAAAAGACCTTTTGCTGAGCAAAGAAATTTTGATTGTGATTTATAAATCATAATCTTTATTACCACAGTCAGCAGGAGTAAAATAAAGACGAATGTTTCTAAAATTCTAAATTATTGAATTAAAAATCAGTTTTTTAATTATTATTATTATAAATAATATTTGTTCAATTTTACAGAAAATGAAAATTATTTTCAAACCATATTTCCTCTTAAAGACTCTCAAGCATTAAACTTGTATCGAATTAGGACGAGGATCAATTATGTAATAATTGCGGTAATTGGAGGTACTTACGCATTGTTAAATTGATCCTTCAGTGGCGATCCTTGTTGAACGGCAATGGCGTATGGTTTTCTCGAGAATTCCTCGCCAACTTGTTTCAAATCGCAATTTGTTATCGTTAAATACTTGATGTCAGTGGCGTCTCCAATTAAAGCGAATTCATTTGTCTTATTGAGGTTTCTCACACGATTAACAGCTTCTTCAAGGGTTTGTGGGAATCTAGCTTCCCTCATTGATTGAAACATTTTTGTGTACTTGTCGCTAACTGGATAATCCCAAACGGCGAGTTTTGCTCTCTCCAAGTCACTGAGACTATCATTTAAGCTCATGTCTTTCCAAATGCTAAAAAAGAAGAAAAATGCGATTTTAAACAAAAATTTTATCTCATTAAAGTCTTATATAAATTAAAATAGAATATTTCAATTTTTCAATATTTTTAAAAAGTCAGATACCCTTTAATAGAGTAGAAATTTGAACACAATACACAGGATATTGAATATTTTTGTGCTTTTATATAAAAGTTCGAAATGGAATGTACTCTGAGTTGATTTTGTTGGACCAAATTGTTGAGTAAACATTTCTGGTTGCTCTTTTTTTTGCACTGAATGCATTTACTTCGAAAAAGTGCACTGTAATGTTTACCCAACATCAGAATCAAACCACACGTTTTCAAGTAACAAAAAAATATAAAAAAAAACACACATAAATCGAGTGACAAATACGAATTAATGAATCGAATAAAAAGAGAAGTTTTCTTTTATAAATGACTAGTTAATAAGTAAATAATTTAACATTTTCACAAATTAAAAGAATTTTTTGTTTTGTTATTTAAAAATTGATTTTTTTTCTTGACTTTTTTCCTTGTAATTATCTTATATTTATTTAAAAATAATTAGAGAACAACAAAAATCAATATTATCGATACTGCAAATTTTCTCTCGTCAAAGAAATAAATAAATAAAAAAAAAATTCAGTATGGATAATAAATTAAACATTATTTAAAGGAATTTTATGAAAACCATTTTTTAAAAAAATGCATTTTAAAGAAAACTAATATCCACGTTAATTAATATTTCTTTTGCATAAAAAATTTCAATTATTTTATTATTATTTTTTTTAATTTAAAATAATAATTTAGTTCACTATATACGGATTCTTGAAGCGAAAGAACGTCTACTATAATCGATAACAATTGCTTATTGATTTTGAACTCCAAGGAAGGAATGAGAAATTGAAGTTTCAGAAAATTGACAGAAATGACTACATTTTTCTATCTTTTTTTTTATTGAATATCTTTAAACTGCCATCAAATTTTTTTTGTAATCCTAAATCTCGCGGTTTATTCGTCTTCGTTAACAAAATTTTCATTTAAATGATGCTTTTACTAAATTCAAATTTTTTATTATTAATTGAATTTTCGCGTTTAATAAAATTTTGAATTTAATATTTGCGAGTAATATAAATTTTAAGAAATTGTAAAGTCAATGGAAATTTTAAAATAATTTATATTCTTTTACCTGTAAATTTCATGGAAATATATAAAAGAAGGAAGGATAAATTTCCAATTTATAATTTCGAGACTTATAGAAGCTGATATTCTGTCAGTAATTTAAACTTGCGTAATGGAAATTTGAATTATTAGCTTTCGCGCATGTAATTTATAAAGTTTATAAGCCTCAATTTGGAAACAATACTATTAGAGGTAAGCGAATTTGCATATCTAAGGTACTTCACTTTGTGAATAATACAAACTTGAGGTACTAATCAATTTGATCAATTATCGTAAGAGGAATAAATTTTGGGGTTTGCACAGTACTACGGCAATAGTTTTCAAAGGGATAAGTAGAGACACTTTGCAACTGCCGATGTTAACTATATACATTCCCTATTTCATATATACATAGATTCTCTGCACTAAATACATATTGCATTGGGCGATTATTTAACTCTCTTTCTCTATATATATATATTTCACCTTCAAGTTTAGTACTTGCTAAAAAATATTTTAAATTTACATTAGAGCAATTTCATTTACTTCCATTATTCATGTTACTCTTTTCTATAAACATTCGATAGATTGTTCTCGCAAATGTTCTTTTCAATTGAAATTTACAATTTCTCATTCAATTCTCTTTTTTTATTCTGACACTATTCCGAAAATCTTTCTTTCCCATGAGGCAGTTAATATATAATTTTTGAATTAAATCAAAATCCAACTAATATTTTAATGTAAACTGTAACAAAGTAAAATTATTATTTAAGTCAATTAAATGATATTTGATTCAAATACAGTTTGTTTAATTCAAATAAAAATTATTTGTTTCAAGTTAATATTTATTTGATAACCGATTACTTGAGTCAAATAAATTTTTTTTCCAGTCTAGATATATATTAATAAATTACTAAATCGATACAATATGCTATGTTCGTCACGAGCTGGTAAACAAATATTTTGTCTTCTATCAAACATTTATATTTTTATAAATATTTTTTTCTCTAATTTTTATAATTGATTTAAATTGTATTTCCCTTTATTATAATATTCAAATAAATAAAAGAAAAAAAATGACGTGTTTTGTGGTTGATTTGAAAATTCAGTTACATATAAAACATTTTCTATAAGACACGATCGATTGACACTTATTACAAAAATTATATTACGGAATTCACGCGCGCCTTTCCATACGATAAAAGTAAATTACATGAGGCGTGAAATCGATCAATAAAATACTTTCCTATATAGTTGAATTTATGGGAAAAAATTCAAAATAAATAAAATTTAAAGCTCTGCAAAATAATTCGAAATGTTAATAAAATTTTTCAATAAATTTGAAATTAATTTACTAGTTTCCAAAATTCTTTAAAAAAAAATATAATTTACAATGTTACAAAAATAAAATTTTTTTTATTAGATTTTGTAAAATATTTGTTCCAGCGACTAGTCTCAGAAAAATTAAATAACAAAATACAAAATTCCCTGTAAATATAAAAAAGTTTAATTATACGAAATATTAAATACTTTTTCATACTTTGGAAAAATTTATATAACTTAATGAAATAATAATTTTCAATTATAATAATTCTAAAAAAATTTGTAATTGATTTTTTTAATTTAATAAAATTTTTCAGAAAAAGAAATGCAAAATAAAATGTAAATTTTTTGAAATATTTCTCAACTTACTGATAAAATTTATCCTCAATTGCTGACATCCTCTCGAAATACGTGTAGGCGCCAGAATTTTCGATAACCGAATACTGAACTTTATACTGCGATGCAAGTTGTTCGAGCGTCTCAATTGGTACCTCCAAACGGGAAACAGTGAGATAAGCAGCCAAATTCGCCGTATACGATGCAATGATAATAAATCCAAAAAGCCACCATGTTGCTGCGACAAGTCTTCCAGAAAGATTTTTTGGCGCTTCACCACCTCCTTGAGGTGTCAATGATGTCATGCAAAACCATAGGCATTCTTTCAATGTAAATTCCCTTTTTTCCAAGCTATTCTTGTATTTTTCACGATTATTTTGATAACTGTATGGCGAGAATCTGTCGAAAATCCAGAGTAAAAAACTCGTGAAAAAATATGCAGCCAAAATACATAGCCATACATCGCTTTCCAAAACAGCAAGAAATTTGAAAAGTGACGTTTGTATTGTTGGTTTCACCATCAGAATTGTAATACCAACAAGATCATAATAAGGCACTGTATAATCGACAACATTTTCACGTTCAGCCATCACTGCCAGTGTACCAAGTGCAATATCAGCTTTATTATCCTTTAATTGTCGAATCATTCCATTCCATTCACCATTTTCATCCATGTGCCCATATTCCTTATCGGCAACTTCTTCAATTGTATAATTGAATGGAACAGTTTCACGTATATGATCAAGAAGATCAATGCAATAGCCTTTCCATGTATTCGTCTCATTATCATACATCACAAATGGTTTTTGAATAACCGTAACAACACGGTAACTTTTTTCCGCCATTTGATTAGCCATTAGGCCCGGATTTGTCACCTTTTCATGAAGCGAAATAAAGAGAGAGGAAAAAAAATAAAAACTTTTTAAAATATTGTTCTTTGAACATTTTATCACTAGTTTTTTTAAAGATTAAAACGAAGAATGCAGCGAATCGATGGTCATTGTAGTGTTTATTGTCAGTATCGATGCTGAAAAATGGAGGTCACGCAGGAACGAAGGGTGAACTGCAAATGAGGAGGTGTAAATGTCGTTCGTCAGTCAAACAAAATGTAACTGTACCGATCGATATTGATGTGCGTGCGATACTCGGTGTAAAAGAAAAAAAAAATTATCAATTTTCTTTTTAAATAAACATACCTTCAAGGACTCGTCGATATTGGCTGGCCACGTGGCAACTTGTTCGTCAGCAACAACAATTTTATTGTAGATATTTATTATGTTGACTGTCATGTTGAATTCCGTTTTATGGTCACCGTTCTCATCGCCCCAAACAAAGTTTGCATAGGTCGAAGTGAAACTTTTACTCTCGGTCACTGCCTTTAATTTCGGTAAAAGATTCAAGTTTCTCTTCGGCACATTGCTGCCTGAAAAAATCATTCATAAAATGGAAAAATAAAAAAATCTTTTCAATTTCCAAATTACATGACTATTATATCAAATTTTCAAGAAAAAGAGAATTCAATAAAAAACACTCAATATTTTCTGAATAAAAATAAGACATTTTTTCCCTTTAATCATAAAATTACTTTAATCTAAAAAAAGACCGATTTTATCCACTCATTTCCTTATTGTGTGTTATTTGATTCAATATACTTAATTAATTTGAAATACTTTTTCACATTATTTTAATGAAATTCCACTTTTTGTAAATTAAATTTCAATTTAAAGATAATAATAAATTTAAGTAATTTCTGATTCTGAAAATAAAATTTTGATTTTAAAAAAAGTATAAAAAAATCATTTTTAAAAAATTTCTCACCATTAAATTCTTCACAGATAATTTGTTCTCGTATCGCAGGCCATTCACCAGCATCGATAGCCGCTTTCATTCCCATAACTGCGATTCGTGTCAAATCATAGTAAAAGGCGGAGCTTATCAATGGCTTAGGCAAAAGTCCTTTCGAAATGAGTTCGGCCAATTGTGGTTTATTGAGAAATTCCGGTTTGATGAACATTATTGAGATATTGTTAACATCACATGATGGAATAAATTCATCGAGAGTTATCATGTACCATGAATAAAATGGACCGGTATAATTTTGTGATCCAGCAATTTTCATAGCCATGCAAATTGTTTCTTGATTTCCCAAAATAAAGAAATGAACAATATCTAAATCGCGTAGTCGTATTATTTGTTCGCGTGCCTTGTCTTCATCATTTTCAATATCAACCATTACATGACGAGTTGGAACATTTAGAAGAAGACTCTTGTATTTGTGATCCATTACAAAATCGCCATTAAATAGAATCATTGCATTGTCTATTGATTTATTATATACCGCTCGATTATTTATCGATGTTAGACATAATTGTCGAATAATTTCCGGTACAAGATCTGCTGGCGGCATCACTTGAATCAAATATCCCTTTTGATCTTCTGTCAAATCTCTCCATCGTCTAGAATTTTTAATATTATTTAACCTAATTATAAAATAGTTTTCCCTCAAACCAGATGTGTTGAATTAAATAGAAAAACATTTTGCAATTCTTTTTTTCGCATATAAAACGGTAATATAAAATTTTGTTTGTAATAAGTGTGAGCAATTTCATTGTTAAATAAGTTATGTTGTCTAATTCTTTTTCTATTGTTTCAAAAATTGTAATTTAAAAAAAAAATGCATACACTTACCGTAGATCACCTTTCTGTCCAAATTCACCAGAAACGGTTGGTAAACCAAGAGCGGCAGTGATAGCGTTAACTGTTTCCGTTGCCAATCCGGATTTTGTAACATCAAGAATTAAATCCGGAATTTTCGATCCTGATCTCCCTTCTAAAAGTGTCGTATTCCAAGTTCCGCATACACGTTGAAGTGTACTGTCAGCATCAGAATTGTTGATTAGAATCACATAAATTTCTCCCAAAAAACCAGGATACTGGTCTTTCAGCATATTCAAAGAGCTGGTCACACTTTTGTTCGCCACTTCATTTTCTTCATCGTTGATGATTACTTGAAAGAAAAATTAAATATAACCCTTTTAAAATAAATACAAAATTTATACATTTATTTAACAAAAATAATTAAAGGAAAACGACACTTATCACTATTCAGGTGATATTATTATACACTCAAAACATAAACAAAACAGAAGTTGGTAGCAAGTGCCGATTTATTCTAACCAATCAAATTATAATTTTTAAAAATGGCGCCCATCACGTGATTTGCATTAGTCAACTGATAGCGCACTTCACGCCGGAAGTATTGTTAGGCGCCATTTTGGGCCTTGTGCGTGCATCCATAGCAAGTTTTTTGATAAGAAGTTGATGATTACTTTATTACAAATCATCAGTAAAGCTCAAAAATAAAAGAATGTACTTTAATTTAATGATTGTGTTACTATTGCGACATCAAACTAGTTCGTTGTATGCAAATTTTTACATTGTGCAGTAAATAAGCAGAATTGTTTCTACATCCATGTGGTCTACAGGGCTTTTCGGAACAACTTGCCAGGTATGTTTAGAAATTAATTTTTACTTAACATTATTAAATATTTTATGCATTATATTTAATTTTGACCACTTTTTTTATTATATCTAAATATCTAACCTATAAAGTTCCGATTGCAAAATTTCAATAAAATATATAATTATTAACCTAAAATCGTTCTCAATTTTTGTCATCTTCGACATCAGGGTTAACAATTGTAAAATTTCCAAAGAAAATTGTTCTTATGTAACGTCTAACATCTTTATTTTCTCAATATTACAGGAAAAAAATAACTTTCATATGAAATTTTACAAAGAATCAAAAAATTGTTAACATACGGAAATTTTACGAATCAAATTATCAATATATTATACGAAAAGGTATATTATATATATTGTTTCAAGATGGTGTTGAAGAGAAAAGTAAAATGTAAAAAAGTATCTGGACTCATCGAGGGAGAAATAATGATACAACAGATTCTTCGGCAATTTCGCAGCTTCCTGTATAGAATTTTCTTAAAAGCCAGAGAGTAATGGAAAATCAGAATTTTCACAGCATCGCCTTCACGGAAATATTTACAAAAGGTACGACTACTAAAATTAAAATCTTTTTCCTTTGTTCACTTTTCACTCGAGGATTAAATTCTCGATTAAACTTTTATTTAATTTCTATCACGTAATATTTCTTTCAAAAAATTTTTTTTATTATTGATTTTAATAAAGTATGAGCATAACGAATATTGAAAAAATTTAGTATCATGAAAAAATTAAATTAATATTTAATTTTTGAATTAAATAATAATATTTAAATATTATAAATTCATTAAATATTAATATAATTTAATTTAATAATTTTTTTCGATTTTTTTTCAATATGGTGTAAATTTTTTCAATATAAAGTGAATATATAGGAAAATAAGTAGATAGTCTCGGTGTATGGTCAGACAAGACTATAACTCTACTTTAAGTAGAGTAAATGGTATTTTTTCCTTCATATCTATAATCTTATCACCAACAATTTTTTTTTCAAATAGCAAAGTGTAGATAAAAAATGGAAAATTTATAATTTTTTTTATATTTTTTTTTATTTGAACTAAAGTCAAGGTCTTCATATATATTGCATTTTTCTGCAAATAAAAATTTTAACCTTTTGAAAAATCGTTCAATATTTCATGATCATGACATTATAGAATTCATTATAAAATAATTTATAAATTATTTTATATTTATAGTTATTTTCTAAATAATAATGAGGAAAAATGTTATATCGAAAATTAAAATTATAAAAATAGACTAATTACCAGTCAATTTAATATAGAGAAAATTAAAATGTAACTTTTTTTAAAAATTCTTTTATTTATTGGTGATTAGTTAATAGTCAAAATTTTAATTTTGTCGTATAAATAAATAAAAATTGAAACGATTTTTTAAAAAAAAAATTGCGTATAAAAAAAATGTTTTAAAAATAAATATTGGCAATTTAACAATTTTTTTTTCAAAGTCAAGAAGAAAATAATTGAAAATTCCCAAGTTATTATTCACAAGTCTCTTCGTTTCAAATTTCACTTCCTCATTCTACCGAGAATTTCTATAATTTCTCATTTTCACCTTCGTTTTGTCTCATCTACCGGCCACACAAGTACTGTAATATTCGTTTCTGTCTTTCCATTTTGAGAGCTTATACTGTCTTCCTTTCCACTTACATTTTCAATTTCTCATCAAGTTGATTATTTTCTGCTAATATTTTATTCAACTTTCTCATTTTTCCTCAAATATCCATTATAAGTCCATGAACAAGTTCTATTTTTTTCAATTACATTTTTCTTTCGTTTTGAAATTATTTTTAATTCAAAATCAAAAATGTGAATTATAAAAAAATTAATTTTTGTTAAAGTTAATTAATTTGATAAAAAAAAAATAATTTAATTTAGTAATTAAATCATTATTATTATTATTATTATTTATGAAATTAGTAAGGCGATAAATAAAAATTTTTTTATCATAATTTTTATAATTAATGCATAACTGTCTATAATAAAAAAGTCAGGCGAGAAATTTAAAATGAATAGGTGAGGATATTTTTTAACTTCGACATTGCACTGTTCAAAGTGTCACGAGTCATATACTTTCTTTTCTTTTTTTTGTCAGAAAATGCCCTGACTTTAAAAGTGAACGACATTTCTTAACGACCTGTTTCTTTTGGAACAAAAACTACAATGAACCTGCCTTTACTTTACGAGCTTTCTCTTATCCCACTTTATTTTTTCATTTTAAGACCAGTGTTTCGAGAGTAATACGATGTTAGAAGGTCGAAATGTTCAAAAAGAAAGCACTTAAGTAGCAAATAAAATGCAAAAAAAAAATCCAATTATTATTATTTTTGTATATCATGGAAAAAAGAGTAGCGTAATCTTTTTTTTCCATCTATAGATTGAATTTTAAAATTGAATGTCTTAAGAGAAGATAAATTTTTGAAAATATAGAGAGAAAAAATAAATATTTAAAAATGATAAAAGTTCGGAAGGAAATTGATATATAGCAGTGTGATTTCTTTCCTGAGTGTTTTCGTTTGTTTCACTGAGCACAGTTAATCCTATGAGATCAAATGAATTCTCTCTTTCTCTCTCTTACTCGATACTTTTTTCTTCACTTTCTGCGTCACTGATTTATTTTTTATTGCAAGCTTAACGCGAGAACCAAAGGTATTTCTTTTCTGGTACTTTGATCTTTTCTTGTGCACTCGAAATAAGAGTAAAGTACACTTTTCTTTTTCGTGTTTGAAACTATAGAAAAATCCAAATAAAACGCAACTATAGAAAAATAATTGTGCAAAAATATTTGTTTATCTATTTTTCAAAATTTGTTTTAACTTGACAATTTTTTTTTTAATTGAAAAATATTTTATAAATTTGTTTTTATTTATTAATTTAATTTAATATTATTTTTATTAATTAAAAAATAAATAAATTAATTTTATATAAAATTTCTTTTCATTTAAAAACATTTTATTTATTAAAAATGTTTTTTTTATAAACCCTAATAAATACAATCGAAAATTAAGTATTTTTAGTTCAAAACAATTTTTTTAACCGTGAATTAGAAAAATTAATTATTTTTTAATGAAATTTATTCTTTGGTAAAATTCACAAGTTTCTTTGAGTCAAAGAAAAGTTTTTTAAATCAAAGAAATTTTAGTTATCGATATATGGTCAAAGAAAAGTGGTTTTTTGCATTAAAAAATTCGTTTCTTTTTCAATTGAATACGCACGTTTAATAAAAGAAATAAAGAAAAAGAGAAAGAAAGAATCAAAGAAAGAAAAATGAAACAATTCATCCGCAAAATTGATATAGTGCTTTATTGTTTCAGAAAAAAAATTATATTTCCTGTTTAAAGAAATGTTTGACTCGTTAAAAAATATTTTTTCTCCCTTTAAGTTTATTCTTGACTATTACTGTGAGCCCTTATTTCCTTTAAGCAGTTATTTCAAAAATGCTGTTTCAGCACATGGCTCATGCTCGTTACTTTATATTCTTTAGGTGAACGCAACCTACACCACGTAGAACACGGAAAACTTCCGACATTTGTAAACTGTACAGAATAATAATGAGCAATGTGATTAGTCAACTTTCATACTTTTTGTTTAAAATGCCAACATTTTCTTCTTTTTTTTGTGCAATTATTGTTTAATTAATTGCGATTGCAGAAATCGTTTGTGCCAGTGAAGCAATTTTATATGAGACAATTTCAGTAGAAAAGGTCAGTGTGCCGTCAGACAGTCAGGCGATTTCTGTCATGAAATACAATATTTCTCAGGCGAATGAAATAATTACATATATAATTATATGCTCTTAATTTTTTAAATTAATAATAATAATAATAATAATAAAATTGATTTAATTCTAAATTGGTTAATCATTAGTGTTAGTGGTAATTAATAATTAATTAATTAGAATTTTTATAGAAATTGAAAAACTTGAGAAGACATAAAATTTTGTTGAAGTGTTTGGAAAACATAGAAAATACTTTGTATTGAATAATCAGTTATTTTTTAAAATAGTTAAATAATTAATTATAATATTGTTTAACTATTATATTCAATATATAATAATATATTATTATATTCAATAAAAACGACGATTTTTTGTATTAAATAATTTAATTGATAATTGCACTGAAAAAGAATTTATTTGATTCAAATAATTTAGTAAAATAAATATTACCTTGAATCAAATAATTTTTGTATTTGAAACAAATACCATTTAATTGACTCAAATAATTATTTAATACAAATAAATATTTATTTAATAATAGTCAAGAAATTGAATATTAGAATCAAATAAATTTTTTTTTCAGTGTGTTACTTAAAAATTAATGGTTAATAAAATAAAAGAGAAATTTACTTTAGTACCACTTTAAAAGATAGTTTAATTCAATAAACTAAATTGTTTTCTGAGTATGAGGCGATAATTCAGTTAGAAAACTGTTTTCAATTACTAAAGTAAAAGTTAAATTATTTTTAAAATTTTATTATAGTTTATTTTAAATTATTATTATTGTTAAATAATAATAATAATAATAATAATTGAATAACTATTTGGCTTGTATCAACAATTTTGTTAGAGGTTAAATAAACTAATTAATAACCTCACTAAAGCAAATTTGCACTTTCATATCATTAATTAGTTGCTAACTATTAAAAATTAGAATTATGTTATTTAATACAAATATCGACGTAGTTAATTTGAGTAATTGAATAGTTTTTTGCATTATTTGGTAATTTAGTTTTTAATATAGTTTATTAATAATTATAAATAATTTAAAATAATTAATTATCAATAATTTAATTTCATTTCCTACATTTACAGAACAGTTTTTTTTAAATTCGACGCCTCCCTTTTTAATGATTATATTGAACTGAGCTCTAAATAAGATTTTATTATTTTAACAAATGAAAAACAATTTTATCAAGAAGAGGCAGTCTATAAAAAAACTGTTCTTAAAAAAAGAAAATCTTCTAGTCGATTCTAATCACTTCTCTATTATAAATACAGAAAAAGAAAATTTTTTTAAACTAAATTTAAAATCTTGAAAGAGACAAAAAAAAGTTTTTTAAAAACCTACAGAGATTAACTGGCCTCGAATTGGTAGAAGTAGGTCGTACTGGTGGTGAGTTGTTTTGGCCGTGGACCAAACTTCCAGTAAACAAAAAAAGGCCGAAAATGATTAGGGCAAGCCGGAGGCACCTCATCGCGCCGTCAGGCGTTGAGGTAGCCAACTGTTCGCGTGTTCAAATGTACTTTGCTATTGTGTCGATAAGTAAACAAAAGGATATATAGTATATAGAAATAGGTGGCAGTGGTGATGTACCCTGTGTGAGGAATGTTGCTTCGCAAAAAGAGAAACTAAATGGATGGTATAGGAAACATTTTCTTTTTTCCCTCCTAGTGATGCTTTATAGCCGAATCGTGTTTGTCCATTGGTTGCCGCGGGGATGACCCAATCAATTCTCACCAAGTGGTTGTGTGTTTTCCCCCCTTTTTTTATTTTTTTCTTTTCGAGACACTCCCCATTCTTTTCTCGACCTTGTTCATGTCTCTCTCTCTCTCTCTCTCTATATGTGTGTATTTACACGATCAGAAATTGCCTTATACGATCGCGCATTGGTGCGACATTCTTTAGACCAACCCGTTCTGTCAACCTCATTGCACGTCCTTCGCGACTGCACAAATAATAATAATAATATGATGATGATAGTTTGCGATTTCTTAAACAACAGTCTCCCCCTACTTAGAGAAAAAATTAAGGGAAGAGACTACTGAAATTTCAACCTATGGAAATTTATACCGTTTAGGGGTGTTAATTTATTTTCTGACAATATTGAATATTTAAAATGTAATGAAAAATTAAAAAGAAACTAAATCAATTAATTTTTTATAGGACTCGAAATTCTAAAAAATTTAAAATATGAATTTCTGTTACAATTTTCTAAAATTAAATTTTTTTTTCAAATTAAAATAATTTAGAATAATTTTAGAACCTAAACAATGTCAGAATAAATTTGACGTAAGTAAATTTTTGAAATGTTGATTTTACTGGTCTCTTCATTCAAGAAATCAATTTATAAAAAAAACGAGGGTAATTTATTCTTTCAGATTAAAATCATATGTATATATATATATATATATATATATAAATATATATTATGATAATAGATAAGCTAATAATGAATTGATATATACAGTATCTGAAATAAACATCTCAATTTAAGGAAAATATATTTTTTTTAAATGTTTATTATTCAATTTCTAATAAATATTTAAATGAAAATATTTTTTTTCAATGCTTTATGTAAATAATGATAAACAGGTATTTATTTTATAACTGATAGAATATGTTTTCGTTTTATTTTGGAAAAGTTTATAAGGTATTTTTTTTATTTTTTTTTACGAAAGTGCTAAAGGCATTCGGTTTTAAAAATTAGTCAAGCCTCGATGTCTCTCTCTCTACCCAAAATTCGAGCTTTCATTCATCTTGCTCTCTTTTTGAGACTTCAAGAACCATTCAGCCTTAGAAAGCGACCAACCAGAAACTATCCGGCTTAGAGAAATAAGTCTTTGGATGCGTTCTGTGCGCTCTCTCTCTTTCTCCGAGAGAGGGTTTTTTCCCTTGATTTTTCTTTTATTCGAATACCAACATTAAAAACGCCTCAAAAATCTGAAATTGCTCTTTCAAGTGCTATTTATTTTTTTATTCATTTTATTTTGTTGAAAATAATTCGTTAGAAAATAATTGTATTCAGTTACTTTTGGCGTTATTTTATTAGATACTCAGCCTTTTGATCTGCAAATTGACCCAATTTTAAGGATATGTAAGCCTATTTAACATCAAACCCAGCAGCCTCTTGACCTAAAAGTTTATCTAATTATGATTTCAGATTTGATAGTATTATGATCCTGAACATTGACTGAATATAAATCATGAAATCGCTGGGTTTGAGGTTCTAATTAGCTAACATATCCAATAAGCCTTTTTATTTGCAAATTCCAAATTTCTAATCTATATAAGAAAAAGTCTCATTATTTTTATTCATTTAAAAAAGAGTTTAAGTCAAACATATATGAATAACAAATTCTCAAAAAAATCAATTGTTCTTAGGCAGAATATTTCTTTGCAAATTCTTGCACAAAATACACCTAAAATTGTAGAAAAAAATAACATCCCGATGCGAGTAGACAAAGACACCTATTAACACCCAAAAGACAACCATAACCTTAAAAAATTTTATCAAATAATTCAATTGTTCTTAGGCAGACTATTTTATTGCAATTTCTTGGCCAAAATACACCTAAAAGTGTAGAAAAAAATTGACAGTCCGATCCGAGTAGAGGAAGACCCCTTTTATGACCTATAAAGCACTTTTCGTAAAAAAAAAATTTTCAAAAAAGTTGAATTTTTCTTAGGCAGACTATTTTATTGCATTTTCTTGCACAAAATACACCTAAAAGTGTAGAAAAAAATTGACAGCCCGATCCGAGTAGAGGAAGACCCCTTTTTATGACCAAAAACGCATCCAAAAGCATAAAAAAGTTCCCAAAAAAATTCAATTTTTCTTAGGCAGACGATTTTATTGCATATTCTTGCACAAAATACACCTAAAAGTGTAGAAAAAAATTGACAGCCAAATCCGAGTAGAGGAACAAACCTATTACCACCAAAAAGTCATTTAACCCATAAATCCAAAAAAATAAAAAAGTTCCCAAAAAAATTCAATTTTTCTTAGGCAGACGATTTTATTGCATATTCTTGCACAAAATACACCTAAAAGTGTAGAAAAAAATCGACAGCCAAATCCGAGTAGAGGAACAAACCTATTACCACCAAAAAGTCATCCAACCCATAAATCCAAAAAAATAAAAAAGGTCCCAAAAAAATTCAATTTTTCTTAGGCAGACGATTTTATTGCATATTCTTGCACAAAATACACCTAAAAGTGTAGAAAAAAATCGACAGCCAAATCCGAGTAGAGGAACAAACCTATTACCACCAAAAAGTCATCCAACCCATAAATCCAAAAAAATAAAAAAGTTCCCAAAAAAATTCAATTTTTCTTAGGCAGACGATTTTATTGCATATTCTTGCACAAAATACACCTAAAAGTGTAGAAAAAAATCGACAGCCAAATCCGAGTAGAGGAACAAACCTATTACCACCAAAAAGTCATCCAAGCCATAAATCCAAAAAAATAAAAAAGTTCCCAAAAAAATTCAATTTTTCTTAGGCAGACGATTTTATTGCATATTCTTGCACAAAATACACCTGAAAGTGTAGAAAAAAATCGACAGCCAAATCCGAGTAGAGGAACAAACCTATTACCACCAAAAAGTCATCCAACCCATAAATCCAAAAAAATAAAAAAGGTCCCAAAAAAATTCAATTTTTCTTAGGCAGACGATTTTATTGCATATTCTTGCACAAAATACACCTAAAAGTGTAGAAAAAAATCGACAGCCAAATCCGAGTAGAGGAACAAACCTATTACCACCAAAAAGTCATCCAACCCATAAATCCAAAAAAATAAAAAAGGTCCCAAAAAAATTCAATTTTTCTTAGGCAGACGATTTTATTGCATATTCTTGCACAAAATACACCTAAAAGTGTAGAAAAAAATCGACAGCCAAATCCGAGTAGAGGAAGACACCTATTACCACCAAAAAGTCATCCAACCCATAAATCCAAAAAAATAAAAAAGGTCCCAAAAAAATTCAATTTTTCTTAGGCAGACGATTTTATTGCATATTCTTGCACAAAATACACCTAAAACTGTAGAAAAAAATCGACAGCCAAATCCGAGTAGAGGAAGACACCTATTACCACCAAAAAGTCATCCAACCCATAAATCCAAAAAAATAAAAAAGGTCCCAAAAAAATTCAATTTTTCTTAGGCAGACGATTTTATTGCATATTCTTGCACAAAATACACCTAAAAGTGTAGAAAAAAATCGACAGCCAAATCCGAGTAGAGGAACAAACCTATTACCACCAAAAAGTCATCCAACCCATAAATCCAAAAAAATAAAAAAGTTCCCAAAAAAATTCAATTTTTCTTAGGCAGACGATTTTATTGCATATTCTTGCACAAAATACACCTAAAAGTGTAGAAAAAAATCGACAGCCAAATCCGAGTAGAGGAACAAACCTATTACCACCAAAAAGTCATTTAACCCATAAATCCAAAAAAATAAAAAAGTTCCCAAAAAAATTCAATTTTTCTTAGGCAGACGATTTTATTGCATATTCTTCCACAAAATACACCTAAAAGTGTAGAAAAAAATCGACAGCCAAATCCGAGTAGAGGAAGACACCTATTACCACCAAAAAGTCATCCAACCCATAAATCCAAAAAAATAAAAAAGTTCCCAAAAAAATTCAATTTTTCTTAGGCAGACGATTTTATTGCATATTCTTGCACAAAATACACCTAAAAGTGTAGAAAAAAATCGACAGCCAAATCCGAGTAGAGGAACAAACCTATTACCACCAAAAAGTCATTTAACCCATAAATCCAAAAAAATAAAAAAGTTCCCAAAAAAATTCAATTTTTCTTAGGCAGACGATTTTATTGCATATTCTTGCACAAAATACACCTAAAAGTGTAGAAAAAAATCGACAGCCAAATCCGAGTAGAGGAAGACACCTATTACCACCAAAAAGTCATCCAACCCATAAATCCAAAAAAATAAAAAAGGTCCCAAAAAAATTCAATTTTTCTTAGGCAGACGATTTTATTGCATATTCTTGCACAAAATACACCTAAAAGTGTAGAAAAAAATCGACAGCCAAATCCGAGTAGAGGAACAAACCTATTACCACCAAAAAGTCATCCAACCCATAAATCCAAAAAAATAAAAAAGTTCCCAAAAAAATTCAATTTTTCTTAGGCAGACGATTTTATTGCATATTCTTGCACAAAATACACCTAAAGGTGTAGAAAAAAATTGTCTTTCTGATACGAGTAGAGGACACCCCTAGTACCACCCTTAAAACAACCCTTAAAAAAAAGTAATGAAATAATGATGAGTTACTGTAAAAGAAGCTAAGGAGAAATATTTAACAAAGTGTATGTATGTGTTATTATTAGATTAAAAAAATGTTGGTAGAAGGAAAGAAAAATGGTAAAAAATTAGCTATTATCTACGAAGACATATCTGAAAAAATATTGTGTACGCGTGGTTATCGTTGTTTCGAATACGCCAGCTGTGCTTTTTCTTTGTCTATATATTGTATGTACAAGACTTTCTGCAATGCACCATATTGTTCTCATTAAACAAACATACAAAAATTCCCAACCCAAATAATATACATATTTTTTTTCATATTTTGCTCTTCTAATTAAAATTCAATTATGTAAAAAAATCTCCCTCAGAATAAGTAGAAATCTCATGCTTTTAAAAACGTGTTTACAAATTATTTTTGCCAAATAAATTCATCGTGGGGGAAAACGATGGGTAAAAAGTTATATTTCAAAAACATTAATAGTTGAAATTTCACAACTTGTTGGAGACTATCCTTAAGACGGCTTTTCCGCTAGGGAAGTTTTCTTCAAAGTTGAAAAAGAAAGTTAAAACGAAAAATCCATCAAATATTTTTCTTCTGTAATTTTTTTTTCCACTGAAGAAGCAAATTTTCCCTTGACGAGGTGAGATTGTTCGTAACTTATTGAAAGTGCCCAAGTGTCAAGTTGATAAGAAACTTTGTCTCTGTATAGGGGAAATGTAACTTTTAAAATAATCAAAAAAAAAAAAAGAAGAGTATATCAGTTTTCACAAGTAGAGAAAGAGAGAATATTGTTTGCTTGACTTTATAATAAGAGAAGACTACACTATTCATCATGTGATAGACTTGGTATGTTTGAATGCTTGAGGCATTTTCTTCTCGAGATTATATATATATCACAATCTGCATTAGCCGCAGGGCATATAACATTGAAGTACATAAATGGAAGAATATCAATATTTGTTACTGTCTCTCGTTACTTTCATATGTCACTTGAAATTACAATCGAATACAAATGAATTTCCATTTGTGTGTATATTGTTGTAATTCGAAACAATATAATGTTTTCTTTATTTTATCTATCTATCAGTTATAAAAACATTTTTCTCTTTTTATCATATAGATATATCTCTCAGGGAAAAAGTTTATTAAAACTAAATAGTGAAATTTACTTTGTTAGGTATTTGTAATAAAAAAGTACATTAAAAAAAATACTAAATTCAAATTAGTTAAAAATTTATGTACTAATTTAGATTTAGAGAAGTTGGTTTTGTAAATATTAAATGAGGTTAATTTTCATGAGGCACATTAATTAATTCATTAGAAAAGTTTCTACTTTGATGTTCTTAGTATCACTTTTGAACTTTCTTTGATGTTTATTAGTTTCATATCTTTAAACTTTTCTTTTAAAATGCTATTCTTAATTACTCATTTTACATACGTAATAATTTATTTATTAATCATTATTATTAACTTTCGAATTAAAAAAATTTCTTCTTTTTTTTTTAGAAAAAAATTGACGTAAATGAGAATTATTAACTTTAAATGTTTTTTCAACTGTGAGAAATATGAAAAAAAACACAAAACAAATAAGAATGTTTTTACCTTCATCATGATACTAGAAGTTCAAAGTGCTTTTCAGAATAAAATGTTCCTGGTATTTTTCCCATAGTCTCAAAGCTTAATGCGGAACAACGCAACGAGTACGTGTGGTTAAGTAAAGTCAAGCGCGAAAAACTACCCTTTTTTTAAGCCGCAATTTTTTTTTTTTTTTTGCAGAACTAATTGGCCATCCGAAGAGAAAATAAACGTATTCTTACCAGCTAAAATTTCTAACTGAATTAAAAATGATAGTCGTTTTTTAGATTTAAAAATTATATTAGTCCAATCATTATTCTTTTAATTTATTATACATTAGAAATATTAGACTTATTTTAACTGTTCTTTTTGCAGATTCTATCCCCGATGGCTTGTAGTGTCACGTACTTCAAAGATAAGGACAAAAGTAAAAAAGGGTATCTTGAAGGACACAGAATCCACACAGACTTTTTAGAACTCGGTCTATTTTTACGGTTATTTTTCACATTTTCTGAATGGAAATTTAACTTGAAAGTAGGGATCTCCGAGGGCTATTTAGTTTGAAAGAATCTCCTTGAAGCTGATCTTTATTAAGGTAAAGATTTTAATTTATTTTATTTTTTTTTATTAATAATAATTTATTTTCATTATATATCTTACATAGGTGTTTAAAATACAATTTTTTTTTTATTAATAATGTGTTTTATAAAAGTTATATATTTTATATGATGTATTCTCTATTTGCATGTTTAGCGAGCATGGCGTGTGCGATGATGGTTCGACTTTGAAATTGCATCAATTTAAATGACCTTCATAGGGAGAGACCCCGCCTTATGCCCTCAGCTGCTTCATTTAATTAAAGGCTTTTAACTTATAATCAATTAAGGAATTCCTGGACCTAAATCGACGACTAATTTCTGACCAGGTAACTACCAACTTTACTTAATCAAAAAATGAAAAAAAAGTAATAACTTTCGATATTTCGTAATATTAGTTAATAGTTTTAAAAATAAAATGCAAATATAGACAAAATATAATTATTTTTAATGGATTCTCAAAAAGTGATATCTGTATATTTGAAATATGAAATATTTTAATATTGAAAAAAGTCCGACCAAATGTTAATTATAAAAATAAATAAGAATTTATCCAAAAAATGTTCCCTACCAAAAATGTATGTGGCATTTTTTGAATGGACCAACACCATTCGGGCTACAATGAATCAAATTGGACAAAAAATTTCGAAATTTAGAAAAAAAATTGTTTTTTCGAATTTTTTTTCATCGACTTATTGATTCCGGGTTCTATTTTAATTAAACTCTTGTAAATATAAGTTTAGGTAGTACAGATCAACTTTAGTGGGAAAAAAGATTTAAAATTTTTATCGTTACGATTTTTTTTACTGTGAATAAAAATTTATTAATCGTTAATATTTTTATTATTAAATTCTAAAGTATTACATAATTAATTTGTTACTAAAAGTAAAATTTTTTATAAACTCCTTTTTTATAGTTTTTTCTCATTGATTTAAAAATTAAAAATTTATTTTATTATTTTTTCAGTGACACTTGGAAAGAAAGGAAAGCAAAATTCCTTTTTAAAAGAAGGAAAAGTTATAAAAAAATAAAACACTTTGATTAAAATTGAAATGAAATAATTAAAAGTGAACTAAAAGTATGTTGCAAATTAAAAGTGTTTGTGGACAATTTGTTAGTTTCGAGTCAGTGCAGTGTTATAAAAATATTTATTTTAATTTTATGAAAGTTTGTTTTTATTATAAGTGTATAAATTAATTTTAACATAAAATCTAAATTCAGTGTGGGAGTTAAAAATATTTGAATCACACAGAAATTAAAGATGTGTTATATATAATTATTTATAATATTTATTCTTTTAAAAATATTATTTTAAAGAGTTTAAAAATATTGTTACATTTCGAAATAATTAATTAAATTTTTTTTTATTCTTTTAAAATATTAATTTTTTTATTTCATTTTTTGTGTAATAAATTTACATATAAAACATTGATTCAAATATTTTATTTCGATGTGTTTGTGTGAAGTGCTTTAAAAAGTTTGGAAGGATTCCAATCGGACAATTTTCCATTATTAATTGAGGTGAATATAATTTATTATCTATTTCAATTATATTTTGTTTTAACTTTTCTTAAGTAATTTTATTTTCTTTTATTAATTTATTAAAAAGTTTAATTATTAAGTCTTACTTTTTTTTTTATTTAATATTGTTATTGGTAAAGAAAACTTTAATTTTTTAATTATATATTGAAAATTATATATGTTTTTTTTTATAATTGTCTACTTATTTATTATTTTCAATTAATTTTTACTTATCTTTTACTTTTTACAGAGCAGAGGATTAAAAACTGGAAGATGCGGTGGATATATACTCTCAATGGACCGTCTGCATCCCTATACGAAATGAAGAGATCAACGATTGGTAAGTCCCTCCTGTTTTTCAATGAAATGTGGCGAAAGCAGGTTGTAATTAATTTCGAAAAATCCCATAGTGATGGCTATTTAAATCGATTAATATTTAATTAAATTTAAAACTAATCCATTTAATAAGCAAGTGGATCTTATTTGTTTATATTTCTTATATATAATAGGTGGACTCTTCTTGGTAAACGTGGAAAGCCAAATTTTTGAGTGAAATCTTTTAAATTAATTTTTAAACATCTTTTTGAGATAAATATTGAAAAATTAAATTAAATTAAATTTTTATTAATTTATGGAGTTTTTAATACCCAAGAAGAGATTTATATAACAATTAGATTATGTCAATAGAAAATTTTATACTTTTAGTAAAAAAATAAAATCTTTTATTTCTTATATTAAATTAAATGGTAATAATATATTATTATTAAATAGGATGTTTAATAATATTTTTCTTACAGGTTATTAAAAGGTACTGTTATTTTTTATTTTATGGAAAGTCAACTATTTTTTAAATAATAATTTTAAAACCTTTTTTAATAAAGAATATAATTTTTTTTAATAGTTGTCTTTTCAAAAAGCGTTATATCCACTGTCACTATTGGAATTTTCATCTATTTTCCACATAAATTTTTATTTTTACAACACTATGAAAACTATTATTTGTTATTATTTTTTTTTTGTTAACATAATGGCAAGTTTTTTTTATAGAAAAATGCTTGCTTCTATTTATGATTGCAATTTTTCTAAAAGTAGAAAAAATTTCTATATTTTCGACTTATTTTGAGTAATCAGGTTTTTTGTTGATCTTTGTTAAAATTGTATAGGAAGGTTTTATTAATCAAATTCCTGTTTCTTTTGTTGGATAAAAGTTTGTAAATACAAACAATATTTTTGTTACCATTTTTTTATCAGATTTCGTTGATCTTTTTAAATCGTAGAAATTTTTTTAGTCGTATTCTTCTTTTTTTTATAATTTGATTAAAAAATTAATATTTAGATAGTATAGAAATTATCTAATTTGGCAGATGAGTTTTCTGTGATAGTAAAATAATTTAGTACTCGTTTATGAACAATTTTTTAATTCAAATTTAAATACAGAATTGTCAGTAAAAATTTGTTAAAAAAAATTTTTTATAAAGTAGTTGTGAGTTAAAATTTTTCACATAAAATGTCTCATCCCTATTAGTCATTATACAGAAGCTTAAGCAAATACCTTATCTGCTTTTAAATGCATGAAAATTTCTGCCGCCTATCTTTAGAAAAAAATTCCATGCATCCGTGAGTAGATACGTTTATCAAAATGTGATTTACCTAGTAAACGTAAAATTTCCGACTTGAGAAAATGAAATAAACTTTTTTTTTGTGCAAAGGAACCCATATGGGATTCTGTCAAAAGTTTCTAAAATATTGCTGAATAAAAGTAACATGAAACGAATTACTCTGAATTCTAGTCTAGTATATATGTATGTATATTAGAGAGAAAACTATTTTACTTTGAAAAATTTTAAATTCCTTTACTACTTCCAATAATAAACTTTTCTTATTTTATCTTTACTGATACAATCGCCTTTATATTTTATATTTTAAAAAGAACATTATTTAAGAGAACCCCCCCCCCAAAAAAAAACTCCCCTTTACAATTTTAAAATATAAAATAAATTTAAGTTTAAACAAGGGGATTTAAAAAAAAAGATGTTTTTCATTTGTGAGAGTAATTATACATTAGTTTTAACTAAAAGGAACTTTAAGTTTTCTTTCACTTCCATTTTTCTTCCACTTTTTTAATTAAGTACTTCCGGAAAACAATTTTCTAGAAAGCTGTCGACGTCGCTTTAATGTTGTGGCAGTAATTACATTCGTAAAAATTTAGGTTAGTGAGAAATGAAATATTAATTTTTTTTTAATCACCCTTTATAATAATACAAAATTCGACTCTATCAAAATCGAACGCTAATTTTTGAAACTTACTATTCTTTTTTTCTTTCATTATTATTTTTATTTTATTCAAAAATTTTTTTTCCTCTTTTGAAAAATTGTAGATTACATTTATTGTTTTATTATTTTTTTTTTACACTTTACGATAAAAATATATTCTGTGAGATATAATAGAATTATATAAATATATATATATATATCTATGTATTTAAAAAGTTCATATAGAAAAAGATAAAAGAATGAATGTATTTATCTGAGCATAATAAATATCCTTAGATATAAAGAATAGTATGATTCGAAAAAAGGGTCTTTAGCATTGTTTCGAAAATTAAGATAAATCATTCTTTTAATATATAAAGAAATATGATCTTAATACGATCAGTTTTTGTCAGGTTTGATATCCTTGCATCGATTCTAAGACTTAATCTGATGCTGATACCAGTTTAAGTATTGTTTTAATTTAAAATAGTGGCAGTAGGATTTATCCTTTTTCCGGATTAGACGAGAATAATTAAATGGATTTACTAATCTGACGGTCGACTGTTCAGGATTTTTTTGCCACTTTGAATAACAAAAAAAAAAAAAAAAAACGTGAATTTGTCGATTGACTGAAACAAGTTCTTTGCTCATGAAACATTCAAACACTTTTTTTCGTTTTAAACAAAAAGAAAAAAAGATTATAATTCCTGGTTTTTGTTTCTTATTTTTTTTTTGACTAAAAATAATTTTCTTTGATTTAAAAAGAATATTTTTAATTTTAATATCTGATTTTGGAAATTGTTTAAATTATTTAATTAATTATTTGAAAATTATATTAAATTCAATTATTTGATGAAATATTTTAAAATAATTTCAGTTTTTAAAATTTTTTCAAGATAATATCAATTTTTTTATTGATTTAAAAAACTTTTCTATATTTCGTGATAATTCGAAGGATAAAAATTGCACTGTTTTCTTTTTTTTTTAGTGATACTGATAAAAAAGAATTTATTAATGGGGGATTTTAGAATGTACTTTAATTCTGAATTAGGTACAGTATTCATAGGAGAATTTTTTTTTTTGTGTATGCTTCATCGCGTTTTTTAAATGAGATTGTATGAGAACAGATACAGCAGCTCTCTCTCTCTCTCACTGACTCACAGTTATTGGACACGTCAGGTGAATTCTCACTGTTCGTTCTGGGTATATCGACCATATACGAGGTTTGCGCGCATGCGGCTCTTGAGTTTGTGGATCTTTCAAAGCAAAAGACACATGAATGTCTCGTGTCTCGTTTATATGTAGTCTCGTTAACTTTACAGTTACTTTTTTCTTCTTCTTCTTTTTCTTCTATTTTTTCGATTCTTTTTTCTTTTATTTTTAAACGGATTTTATTCTCTCTCTCTCTCTCTCTCTCTCCATTCCCCCGAGTTTATCAAGTCATACACAAAAACCGTCCATGGGTTTTTTAATCAAATCCCAGAGAGAAGAGAGATCAATAGCACTGGTTAAGATATAACGAATTATTCAATTAGAAACTTGTCACAACTCTTTTCTGTTGATGACATTTTACCTGTGATAACATTTTTAACCCATTGTTTTATTCTCTTTTTTTTCTTCAATTAATTATTATTTTCATACAATCGACAAATTTATTATTGTTCTTTTGAATTTTTTTTACAATTAAAAAAAATCATAAAAATTAAATTTTGAAAATTAGAAATTTAAAAAAATATATTTACAAATCTAATTGCATTTGGCAGTTACAGATTTTTTTTTTCATGAATTTGAATAATGCAAAAGAATGATTGAAGTGAGGGAGAAATCTGGACCATTTTCTTAAATGAATCTTTTCTGGCGCGTAGCGAATGTAAAAAAAAACGGGAAAAACTTGTATCATTTTCTTTCGTTAGATATACACTCTTTTTTCACGCGCGATGCAAATGAATGTAAACTATATGTAAATTGAATTCAAGTCACGGGTTTCCGAATGCAAAATTTGTCAAATGAAAAAAAATACCGACAAATTCGATGTAAACATATTCAATTGTAGTTTAATATAATTTTCAATGTACACGCGCGAAAATGAAATTGTCAAATCAGATTTTCAACGAAACAAAACGAAAAAATCAAACAATAGAAAAAATGAGGAAAATATCTTCTTTTTTTTTTTAAATTCTCGGAGCTAATTACATTTCTCAGTAATCAATTTTACATTGGAGCAAATTAGATTGTTGCGCCTCAGGGAGAAGCAACGTACCAGCTTTTAGACTTGCAATTAATTACTCGCTGACGTTTTACATTAGTGAAAATATATATAAATATATATATATATATTGTTTATACATTAATAT